GGTCTAGTTGTTTTGGAGTTACGGATCAAAGAATGCAGAAAATAGAAATCGAGTTTTTGAGAGAACGGAGCGTCTGATTTGAATGATTCGAAACACATTTTACTTGTATCGACAAAATGAAGATCTGATTAATTTTTTTGAAAGGCAGGTCTAGCGGTTTTGGAAATCCAATGAAAAAAGTAAAAAATAATGCCATTTGGCGGTCAAAAATGAATATTAGATATATGTACATCGTATTATCAGATATATTATAAAGATTATAATAATATGTACAAATGTTGTGTACATTTATATGGGTTCCGTACCAATAACCGTAAATGTTTACACACTAGACGTCTACGCGGCGCTTACGCGCTTTGATATTTCGCCTCCAAATTGGTCACGTGATCGATTTTCTAAGGATCCCCCAAGTTATATTTCGTCAACCACCCCCTTCCCCTAAAAATCTTATGTAATTAATGGATTTCCCTTTATATTCGAGTATATCAATAGGGGCTAGGTGAAGATGGATTGAAAATGTTTGGATTTTTTAGAAAAATTCAGGTAAAAAATATATACATGTTATATTTTACTGAACCTCTCCATCCCCCACGTTATATTTTGTCAAAACCCCCCTGCCCCAAAAAATCTCACATGATTAATAAACGCTTCTTTATATTCGAGTATGTAAATATGGGTTAGGTAAAGATGGATTGAAAATGTTTGGGTTTTGTAGAAAAATACTGGTAAAAAATGAATACACGTGATATTTTACTGGACCCCTTCATCCCCCAAACTATATTTTGTCAACCTCCCTTCACCTAAAAATCTTAATGGATGCCCCTCTATATTCGAGTATGTCAATAGGGGTTAGGTAAAGATGGATAGAAAGTTCTCTAAGTATTAGTTTTAATAACTGTGTTTATTTTTACATAAAAATAAAACCAAATCTTCATTTTATACAAAAATAAAAATAATATAAACAAACTTACTTATAAAAATTAAAATTCATAAGCAGACTAGTTTGGTTTTGTCAAAAAGTCTTGCATTTTTGTCTTCTTCTTAATAAAGCATCTATAATACTTATTCTTGTCCTTGACTTCAGTCTTGACTTGTTCCTTCATGAACACAATCAATGTTGAAGGAAAAGATTTACATCGGAAGCATTTTTCCTTTATCTGAAATGTGTCCTCGAGCCTCTTAAATTCCAGAAAAGCAATCCGCTATCGTATACTGTTTTTCATTAAACTGATCCATCATAAAGACTTTAAAGTACTCCGTAATGAGTCCACAGGTGCATAAAGAATTTACCAAATCACACTGACATTTACCAATATAAAATATTTCCTTAGTTGTCTTCACAAACTTCTTGAACGACTCTTGAGCTTTGCTCTTGTTTTCTTTCCGATACCTATCAAGAAAACCGATCAATTTCTTCTGTATACTCTTCCTGTTTATAATTTTGCAATCGAGCCTGCTCCAAATTTCAATCAATTTGTCTGCGACTATGGGGGTGAATGTTTTGTATGAGAACATTTTGTTTTCTTTTTTTGCACGTTCGGCTAAAAAGAAATAGTATCTTAAGACGTCTTGTTTTGTCGGCAGGTTCATTCCACTGAATTCGCAGGGTTTGCCGAATGTTGTAATGTCGTTACCGGGCATATGTTTTAATTTAGAAACATTTTTTGAACTCATTTTTAATTATTTTTGTGTGATGCATTGATATTTGGTTAAATCTGTTTACAATATGTCACTTGACAGTTTGCAAGATGGATGCTTGACAGTTTTCAAGATGGACGCGTGACAGTTTACAAGATGGACGCTTGACAGTTTACAAGATGGACGCTTGACAGTTTATCGACTCCATTGTGAAGTTGGTCACAGATATTATTATTACAAATTACTACAAAAATAATTTTAGAACTATATTTACTACAAAAATAAATACAACGAAAAAATAGACTCTACTGATGAGCAATTTAATTCTGGAAGAACTTCCCTGAAAAGTCAATATAAAAAAAGGACTCTACTAACAAGGAAACTGATCTTCGAACACTTTTTAATAATTCCAATAATAAAATAGGACTCTACTGACGAGCAAAATGATTTCTAAACGATTCTTAAAAAAATGGAACGGTAAAAGAAACTCTACTGACGAAAAAAATAAATTATGAACGATTCTTTAGAAAATGCGACTAGAAGAAATAACGTAGCAATGAAGAAACATCGTTACGTTATTTATGGTTACGTTAAATAAAACGTTCATATTACGTTTAGTTGTAACCTTAAATCTAGTATACTGACGAGCAAAATGATTTCTGAAGGGTTCTTTAAAAAAACGCAACGATAAAAGGGACTCTACTGACGAGCAAAATAACTCCTGATTGATTCCTTGAAAATGCAACGAGAAAAAGGACTTTACTGACGAGCAAACTGATTTCCAAGGAATTTCTGACAAATTCTAAGGAGAAAAAGGACTCTACTGACAATCAAACTGATTTTCTCGCACTATTTAATTGTACAAATGAGAAAAAAGGGACTCTACTGACAAGCAAAATAATTTCCGAAGGATTTTTTAAAAAATAGCAACGAAAAAGGGACTCTACTGACGAGCAAAGTAAACAAAAAATCACATGTCATATGTTACGTGCCTAACATAGACTCATATAATATATAAAACCGATTATAACAGGCGGATTCGATTTTATGTAGGTACATTTATTTCACAAGGGAAATATTATTAATATCATTTCTTACAAAATTGTCATCCATCACAATTGCCATTATATTATTAAAATAAAACATTCGACATGTGGCATTTTATCAATCAATAGAGTCCGCGATTGTCGTCGGCAATGTTCGCTCAGACATGTGACGTCGCACAGTCCCTTCTATGTTTGAGCATATAATTTGCGCCTGACTAGCACTCCATTTAATATAAGGCTACGATCCTAAGGCAAAACTAGTGGTGTATGGCATCGTGCCTTAAGGCAATTTGCTGGAACTTCCCGTACCGAAAACTAGATTAATAAAAAAAACTGTTTTTTTTGTATTTTGATTTTTTTTGAAAATTCAGAACATTTTTTTAAGCGCCGCGTAGTTGTCTAACGTGTAAACATTGGTACGGAACCCATATAAACATACACAAAATTTGTACCTATTATTATAAATCTTTATAAAATATCTGATAATACCTTGTACATATGTCTAATGTTCATTTTTGATCGCCGAATGACATTATTTTTCACATTTTTCATTGAATCTCCTAAACGGCTGGACCTGCCTTTGCCAAAAACTAATCATCACTTCTCCCCATCATTACGAATTGAATGTTTTTTAGATCATTCAAATCGGAAGCTCCGTTCTCTCAAAAACTCAATTTCTATTTTCAGCACTCTTTGCTTCGTATGTCCCTAACTGCTAGACCTGCCTTTGCCAAAAACTAATCAGCACATCTCCTGATCAATAGGGATCGAATGGTAAATGACTCATTCAAATCGGTTGATCCGTGGTCCCGAAAACGTCGACATAAAAATTTGTATAAATCGGTTGATCCGTAAATCGTAGGCAAAAAATTGTATCCGTACAAACATATATGCATTATTTCTAAACTACGCCAAAATGTTCAAACAATGTTTGAAACATAAAGGTTTGCATAAATTTTCGATTTTTTGCTTGCTGATTGAGTAAGTTATAATTAACTTACCCTAAGGGGGCGTCCATTAATCATGTGAGGTCTTTAGAGGGGAAAGGGGGGGGGGGTGAGAAAAAATCACAAGATATTACGAGGGGGAGGGAGGGGTATAGTATGATATCACGCGTATTTATTTTTTACCTGACTTTAAAAAAAAATCCCAACATTTTCAAAAACAATCAAAAATTTTAACATTTTTTCTCGTAACTAAAAATACGCGTGATGTTTTTTGAGAAAGAGAGGGATAATTTTGAATATCACCACGTATCATCGAGGAAGAGGGACGTTAAAAAAATCCTTAAAAAATTGATCACGTGATCAATGGACGCCCCCTAAACAGTTTAATAAGCATAAATGGTGTAAACATTGGTACGGAACCCATATGTATGTACACAAAATTTGTACTTATTATTATAATTTTTATAAAATATCTGATAATACCATGTTCATATGCCTAATGTTCATTTTTTACCGCCAAATTGCATTAATTTGCACTCTTTTCATTGGATCTCCTAAACAGCTAGACCTGCCTTTACAAAAATTTCACCAGTTATTCATTTTGTCAATAAAATTTTCGAATTTATAAGTATCATATTTAAATAGTGCCTTTCATTTAATACCCCACATGCTATATGTGACGTCACAACATTTTGGCCCGCTGCACTATTTCTAGTTCGGCAACCCAATGGTCCGCTTTAGACGATATCCCTTGTAACTTTTGAACCGTATGTCCAAAATGAATGGAATATTCGGTGAATTTGTTCTAAATTAATTGATCTATGTCTTATTAGGACTTTACTTAACCTGTTATGCTTTAAATTTCAAAAATTGATATTATGTATGACTTCGACGGAACCCTTTTGAGTTTCTGAATCGATAAGTATGAAATTTGGATAGTGCCCGTCGAGACCTTTCATTTGATACCCCACATGCTATATGTGACGTCACAATATCTTGACCCGCTGTACTGTTTATAGTTCGGCAACCCAATGGTCCGCTTTAGACGATATCCCTTGTAACTTTTGAACCGTATGTCCAAAATGAATGGAATATTCGGTGAATTTGTTCTAAATTAAATGATCTATAATTTCATAGAATGTATTAGAAATCTACAGCCTTAAATTGCAAATGTTGTCAATACAAATAAAATTTTCGAATCATTCAAATCGGACGATCTAAGACGTAAAGATATGCAAAAATTTTCAAAAATCTTCGTGTAAAAATCCTTAAAAAATTGATGACGTGACTAATGTACACCCTATAAACAGTTTAATAATAATTATCAAATAAAATAACTTACCTTCTATTCTATATTGTATTGTTTCAGGTCATTATGTTCTGAAGAATGTCTCAGGAGCATGTACAAGCCCAAAATCTGCTCTACAAATTCCTGTGGAATTATTTTGGCACCTAGGTTCCAGGATACAAAATTCCTGCCGGCTCAGGTTGACGAATTGGGCCTGAAATTAAAAGTGAGTTAAAATTTTTGTGCCTTAAAATCAAATTCTTTAAATTTTACAATCAAATTATTGATAACTTCATATGGAAAAATTCTGGCTCAGAGTGGCGCATTGGTAATGAAAACTGGGAAATTATCTATCTAGAAATATTTTACATTTAAACAAGCAAGGAAGAATGTTATGATAACAGAATCTCCAAACATTCTTCTTTGCTTGTTTATATGTAAAATACGCCTGATCGAATAGCAAATAGATAGACATTTTCACATATCTACTAGCAAGAATGTACAAATATACAAATATACAAATATACAAATATACAAACATACATATATACAAATATACAAATATACAAATATATATATATATATATATATATATATATATACAAATATACAAATATACAAATATACAAATATACAAATATACAAATATACATATATACAAATATACAAATATATAAATAAATAAATATACAAATATACAAACATACAAATATACAAATATACAAACATACAAATATACAAATATACAAATATACAAATATATATATATATATATATATATATATACAAATATACAAATTTACAAATATACAAATATACAAATATACAAATATACAAATTGAATTGTCCCATTAATCTATATCTATTATTAGGTTTTATGGTAGGACTCTACTGACGAGCAAATTAAATTTCAAACTAAAAGATTAAAAAGGACTCTACCGACGAGCAAATTAAATTTTAAACTAAAAGATTTAAAAAGGACTCTACTGACGAGCAAAATAAATTTCAAACTAAAAGATTTAAAAAGGACTCTACTGACGAGCGAATTAAATTTCAAACTGAAAGATTTAAAAAGGACTCTACTGACGAGCAAATTAAATTTCAAACTAAAAGATTTAAAAAGGACTCTACTGACAAGCAAATTAAATTTCAAACTAAAAGATTTAAAAAGGACTCTACTGACGAGCAAATTAAATTTCAAACTAAAAGATTTAAAAAGGACTCTACTGACGAGCAAATTAAATTTCAAACTAAAAGATTTAAAAAGGACTCTACTTACGAGCAAATTAAATTTCAAACTAAATGATTTAAAAAGGGACTCTACTGGCGAGCAATTTAAATTTTAAACTTAAATAATAAACAAGGGACTTTACCGACGAGCAAACTTGAAATTGATTTAAAATCTAAAAATGAACTCTACTGACAAGCAAATTACATTTTGAACTAAAAAATAAAAAAGGGACTGATGGGCAAATTAAATTTTAATTTAGTAGATAAAAAAGGGACTGTACTGACGAGCAAATTAAATTTTGAACTAAAAAATAAAAAAGGAACTCTACTGACGATTAATTTAAATTTTAAACTTAAATATATAAAAAAGGACTGTACTGACGAGAAAATAAAATTTCAAACTAAAAATTTCAAAACTTTAATTAAAAAGATAATAAAAAAGACTACTGATAAACAAACTTGTTTTTGAGCTGGAATCTAAAAAATGGACTCTACAGACGAGCAAGTTAAATTTTAAACTAAAAAAGGACTCTACTGACGAGCAAATAAACCAAACTGACGAGCAAACTGAACAAAAACAAATCCTACTGACTTGCAAAATGCAAAAAGATAAATAGATCAGTAATAATAATTTATTAATGTTGTTCAAATTGTTTTATTTAAATTGTCCCATTAATCTATATCTATTTTTAGATTTTGTGGTTAGGAGAAAACCTCAATAAAGCTGTGAAACTATTAAAAACATCCCAAAGAACCCCTTCCAATATTTTAGTATTTTATTGGACACCCAGTGAAATGATTCTACCAGGAACACCATCAATAACTTTACCATCTTGCGAACAGTATTCATCCCTCATAAATTCAAGTAAGTAACTAGTGGTGTATGGCATCGTGCCTTAAGGCAAATTGCTGGAACTTTCCGTACCGTAATGAAATATTCGAGAAATTTTCAACGTTTTCAAATATATTATTATTACAAATACTGTAACTTTCATTATTTTTGCATTATCTTGTTTGTTATATCTGAGCAAATCAGATGTAAATCATAAATCGTAAATAAAAAAATAGTTGCCTAATTTTACACAAAATTAGGAAAAGTGCTCCTCATAGTCACAGTCTAAACGCATTTGCAAATAATTCTGTGCAACATTTTCACTTATACTGTGCTTAGCTTGGCGGCATTTTCACATTTTTCAATTGTTTTCACAAAATTGAAAAAGTGCTCCAATACATAAGCAGTCTAAACGCACTTGGGTAAACATTTGTACCAGAGTGGCGCTTAGACTGCGCTTAGCCTGGGAAATTTTTTGAATTCTTAATCCAAAATTACAAAAATATTTTATGAAAAATAAAAAAGGTGTAATAATTTTTTATCCATTTGTGATACTGTCAAGAACTCTACTGATAATCAGAAGAAAAAACACAAGACTGTACTGTAAATTTTAGGCAAGGAGATTAAAAAGGGACTCTACTGACGAGCAAATTAATTTTTAATTTAGAAGACAAAAAAGACTATACTGACGAGCAAATTGAATTTCGTAAAGAGAACATGAAAAGAACCGACAAGCAATCTCAAATTATATATAAAATAAAAAAGGACTCTATTGACGAGCAAAAAAAGGACTCTACTGACGAGCAAATTAAATTTCGATCCAACAAAATAACAAGGGACTCTACTGACGAGCAAATTATTAAAAACATAGAAAATAAAAAAAAGAGTCCAAAAAAGATGAGACAATAAAAAGGGACTCTACTGACGAGCAAACTGTATGTGGACGCAAAAAGAAAACGGATTCTACTGATGAGTAAATAAAATTTTATTCTAAAAAAAACTAGAATGGGACTCTACTGGCGGGCAAATTATTATAAACATAAAAAATAAAAAAGATAAGACAACTAAGATAAGGATTCTACTCACGAGCAAAGAACAAAGAGGACTCTACTGGCGAACAAAGAAAAAAAAGGACTCTACTGACGAGCAAATTAAATTTCAATCTATGAACAAGGGACTCTACTGACAGGCAAAATATTATAAACATAAAAGATGAAAAAAACGTCCAAAAAATATGAGAAACTAGTTGGGTGTATGGCATCGTGCCTTAAGACAAATTGCTGGAACTTCCCGTACCGTAACGAAATGTTCGAGGAATACTGAATATTTTCAAATAGATTATTATAAATATTGTAACATTGTCTAATATTTTTAAAAATTATATAAACTGAATTGCAAAGTTGAAATTATTTGTTCAAAGTATATTAGAACTTTAGTCAGAATTAAAAATAAAATCTGAATTATTTTCGATATACAAAAAAAAAAAATTTGAAAAAAAAAATTGAAAAAAAAGTTGAAACAAAAATTTTTTTTTCCAAAATCAATTATTTTTGTTAAAACAAGCTGAAAGTTCTTTGAATCATTTAAATCGGACGCTTAGTTCTCTCCAAAAATGCCCCTTTTTGCACATTTAGCTCCGTATCTTCGAAATGGCTGGGTCTGCCTTTGCCAGAATCTGATACACACTTCTCCAAATCATTACTAATTGAATGTTTTTTAGAATATTCAAATCGGATGCTCCGTTCTCTCAAAAACTCGATTTCTATTTCCTGCACTCTTTGCTCTTTATCTCCGTAACGGCTGGACCTGCCTTTGCCAAAAACTAATCAGGACATCTCCCTATCAATAGAAATCAAATGTTTTTTAAACCATTCTAATCGGTTGAACCGTGCGCCCGAAAACGTGACTGAAAATTTATCTTACTTACTTACTTCATGTAATTAAAATTAACATACATTCATTTACTGCTTGTATTTTTTTACTTTTTTGCTGGTGATATAATCTCATTCCTTGAACAGCTGTAATATCCGTCTTGCCTAACAAATTGAAGCCATACTTTTATATTTGTTTTATTTATCAAGCCCTGCACATAGCTTGATCTATGAATCATTTGCTTTTTTATGTGAACGTTAATGCAATGATCATCATCAATATTACGAGGTAATAAATTAACCATATTATTAATGTCAACAGGCACATTTATAATTTGGCCAAATATTCTAATATTACATACACACACACATCCATTTTTTCTGAGGTCTTCAAAACGTTGAGAAATAACTAAAATTTTCAATTTCGATTTTCGGCCCATTACAATAACTTATCCCACGGGAAGTTAACAAGCAAGAAAGTATGTTTGAATAATTTGTTATCATAAGATTCTTCCTTTCTTGTTTATATGTAAAATACGCCTGATCCCACAGCAAATAGATAGACATTTTCACAGTTTCACTAACAAAGCATAAGATAGCGTTGCCATGACAATTATTCATTATTCATTATTCTTAATCCTAAATTGTCCTCCTCAGATTGCATTTACGATCCAGCCAGAGTAGCAAAGTTTTCCTGGTCAGGGTTATCAGCAAGGTCTCCACATGCTGCAGCAGCTTTGCAAAACTTCAAATTCTCCAGAGAAGACTTGATGAAGCTTCTAAAATCATATCAGCATTTGAAAAACGCTGAACAAGCAGCCTGCGATTGGATGAGAACCGGAAAACAAATCTGGTCGCAATGGTTGGTGCACGAGGTCAACGTGGTGAAGGAAAAGATATACATTGGAGGCATTTTTCCTTTGTCTGGCAGCTCTTATAAAGCAAGAGGTAATAGTAATTTACTTATATATATATATATATATACTAGCTGACCCGGCAAATGTTGTTTTGCTAAGTAAGGTATATTCTAAACAATTTCTAGAGAATCAAACATATTAATACTTCAAGTGTATAAGGATGTTGTAGAATTTATGTTAAAAGTTTATGTGAATAATAATACAATCGTTTATGCAGAAGGATAAAAACAGACTGACTGCTTATATATTCTTTAACTAATCAGATGCATTACAAAAATTATTAACAATCATAGATAACATAACAAGTGTAGATTGACACAAAACAAAAGAGAAACATATATACATAACCATAGAGTAGGCATAGAGCGTTTAGTATCAAACTTCAACAAATGTGTTGTTTGAATCCTCTATACAATGAGGTATTACAAAGGTCCAATTTGACTTTGATCAAATATAAACTATATTATGAAAAACAAACCATGTTGATCTTTTTAAAAAAATAATTTTTGGTACGGAAAGTTCCAGCAATTTGCCTTAAGGCACGATGCCATGCGTCCCACTAGTTTCATTTTATTTTTAGACTTAGTTTGCTCGTCAGTAGAGTACTTTTTTATATTTCAGGTCAATACTAAAGCTTTTAGTAAGTTTGTTTTTATCGTCTAGACTGCTAATTTGTTTGCTCGTCAGTAGTGTCCTTTTTTATATCTTAGGTCAATATTCAATTTGCTCGTCAGTAGAGTCCTTTCTTTATTTTCTAGTCTGATATTAAATTTGCTCGTCAGTAGAGTCCTTTATTTATTTTCTTTTCTGATATTCAATTTGCTCGTCAGTAGAGTCCTTTCTTTATTTTCTTTTCTGATATTAAATTTGCTCGTCAGTAGAGTCCTTTATTTATTTTCTTTTCTGATATTAAGTTTGCTCGTCAGTAGAGTCTTTTCTTTACCTTTTAGTCTGATATTTTATTTGCTCGTCAGTAGAGTCCTTTTTTTATTTTCTAGTCTGATATTTAATTTGCTCGTCAGTAGAGTCCTTTTTTACATCTTGGGTCAATATTAAATTTGCTCGTCAGTAGAGTCCTTTCTTTATTTTCTTTTCTGATATTAAATTTGCTCGTCAGTAGAGTCCTTTCTTTATTTTCTAGTCTGATATTTAAATTGCTCGTCAGTAGAGTCCTTTCTTTATTTTCTAATCTTATATTTAAATTGCTCGTCAGTAGAGTCCTTTCTTTATTTTCTAGTCTGACATTAAATTTGCTCATCACTAGAGTCCTTTCTTTATCTTCTAGTTTTAGTTTTTTGTTTGTTTTGCCACTCTAGAAATTTTCTAGAAATACTTTACAGGGTAGTGGTCAGCTAGTATAAACATAAATGTTAAAAACTAATGAAATGCTGGGGCTTAGATCTATATGGATCAGAGACATGGACTCTGAGAAAATCGACAAAAACTTTAAAATCAAGGTTATAGCTGGTTATACATCTTTTTCCCTCTACTTTCAAATATCGTTGCTAAACAATGCTTAACTCAACTAATTTTTGACACATAGGTGGTGGACCTTTTTAACTCTGGACCTTCATATATCACTATCTATTCTTCGATAAATTTTGGGAAATTATAACTGGGAAAATGTTATTCGACAAAATGTCCATTTGATCGAAACCAAATTTAGGTTCTGAATTTGAATAACATAAATAAAAAATAATATAACCTAGAAAATGATTTATAAATACCATTGTGTATATAATTATACAAATGAGTACTTTCAGAGCACCGTGTTTGAGAAAAATATGCCAAAAAGTGCATTTTCATATTAACATATCAAAAAAGTTGATATTTTGAATCTCTAGTAACACTTGCGATTCGTTTAATAACGTTTTTGTATATAAATAAAACTACAAACACAACTACTTACTACAATTTAATCATAATTAAATAATATTCACGTAAAACATCCTATTAAAAGTAATAGAATATCATCTGTAAAAAACGTTTGACATTTGACGTATTAGCCACCGTACATTGTTTTATTTAAATGACGCTTCTACAAAAATTTTCAAATTAAAAATGTAAAGTTTCTACGCGGATTTGAAATAATTTCTCACCTTTTGGACATTCTCTGGATTGGCACGAATTTTTCAAGACTAAGACTGGCTAAATCGGTTCAGCCGTTTTCGAGTTTTACCGAATCATTTGAAAGAGAGCTCCATTTTTATATATAAGAAGAATATATATATATATATATATATATCATCAATATATTTTTCCCAGGTATTGTAGTCGGTGCAGCAATGGCCCAAGAAGCAATTGGTAAAAACGCGACGATTCTTCCCGATTATCAATTGGAAATTCTGGCAGCCGATGGTCAATGCAAGGCAGATTTAGAGCTGAAGACTTTTATAGACTACATTGTGGAAAAACATTACGAGCACTTGGTCGGAGTTTTAGGGCCAGCTTGTTCAGATACCCTAGAAGCTTTAGCAGGGGTTTCTAAACACTATAACACACTGGTCGTGTCTTATAGTGCTGAAGGAGCCACGTTTTCTGACCGAGAAAAGTAAGTACACTTGGTTTAAGGGGCACAACTAGTGTGAAATTTTCAAAAAGTCGGATTTTCAATTGTTCCTTATTTTGATAGGTTATACCTTTTAAAACTAGTTGGTTTGGTATTTTGCCTTGAGGCAAGTTACATGAACTTCCCGATTTGTGTAAATAATCGACTTAATCAATAAAAAATAAATTAATTTATGAGTGTATTTATTACACATCATTGAAAACGAACGAACACGTTAACTCGTAGTATTTTATAAAAGCAAATTTTCAAAAATCAATAATTTTTTAATTGAACCAGTTTCCATAGGACTTCAATGGTTTAGTATGTTTATCAAGACCAAGTACTATATTGTTATACCAACTAAATCGTCTAATTTTAATTTTAACAAACGTCAACAAAACTACTCATTTTCTCAAACTTTGATGAATTTTTAAAATTAAACTACTTGTCGTAAGGCCGTAAATATTACAGTAAGTTCTATAAGACTGACAGACAAGCAAACTCAATTTTAATAAAATGTTTGTAATGCGACTCTACTGACAAGCAAATTATTAATTAATTTCAATTTAGAGGAAAAGGAAAAGACTCTACTGACGAGCAAACTCAGTTTTAATAAAATGTTTGTAATGGGACTGACTCTACTGACAAGCAAATTATTAATTAATTTCAATTTAGAGGAAGAGAAAAGGACTCTACTGACGAGCAAACTCAGTTTTAATAAAATGTTTGTAATGGGACTCTACTGACAAGCAAATTATTAATTAATTTCAATTTAGAGGAAAAGAAAAGGACTCTACTGACGAGCAAACTCAGTTTTAATAAAATGTTTGTAATGGGACTCTACTGACAAACAAATTATCAATTAATTTCAATTTAGAGGAAAAGAAAAGGACTCTACTGACGAGCAAACTCAATTTTAATAAAATGTTTGTAATGGGACTCTACTGACAAGCAAATTATTAATTAATTTCAATTTAGAGGAAAAGAAAAGGACTCTACTGACGAGCAAACTCAATTTTAATAAAATGTTTGTAATGGGACTCTACTGACAAGCAAATTATTAATTAATTTCAATTTAGAGGAAAAGAAAAGGACTCTACTGACGAGCAAACTCAATTTTAATAAAATGTTTGTAATGGGACTCTACTGACAAACAAATTATCAATTAATTTCAATTTAGAGGAAAAGAAAAGGACTCTACTGACGAGCAAACTCAGTTTTAATAAAATGTTTGTAATGGGACTCTACTGACAAGCAAATTATTAATTAATTTCAATTTAGAGGAAAAGAAAAGGACTCTACTGACGAGCAAACTCAATTTTAATAAAATGTTTGTAATGCAACTCTACTGACAAGCAAATTATTAATTAATTTCAATTTAGAGGAAAAGAAAAGGACTCTACTGACGAGCAAATTCAATTTCAATAAAATGTTTGTAATGGGACTCTACTGACAAGCAAATTATTAATTAATTTCAATTTAGAGGAAAAGAAAAGGACTCTACTTACGAGCAAACTCAATTTTAATAAAATGTTTGTAATGGGACTCTACTGACAAGCAAATTATTAATTAATTTCAATTTAGAGGAAAAGAAAAGGACTCTACTGACGAGCAAACTCAATTTTAATAAAATGTTTGTAATGGGACTCTACTGACAAGCAAATTATTAATTAATTTCAATTTAGAGGAAAAGAAAAGGACTCTACTGACGAGCAAACTCAATTTTAATAAAATGTTTGTAATGGGACTCTACTGACAAACAAATTATCAATTAATTTCAATTTAGAGGAAAAGAAAAGGACTCTACTGACGAGCAAACTCAATTTTAATAAAATGTTTGTAATGGGACTCTACTGACAAGCAAATTATTAATTAATTTCAATTTAGAGGAAAAGAAAAGGACTCTACTGACGAGCAAAATATGAATAAGAAATGTCTCTAAAAAAGAACTCTACTGACGAGCAAACTCAATTCTAATATAAAATATTTAAAAATGGATTTTACTGGCGACCAAATTTGAAATTCGTAAATATAAAAAAAGACTCTACTGTCGAGCAAACTAAAAATTGATAAAAAAGACAAAAGGTACTCTACTGACAACTGATCAAATAACTTGTTAGAAATGTACAAAATTGATTTAAAAGACAAAAAAGGGACTCTACTAACGAACAAAATTATTAATATTAAATTACTTGAAAAAGAGACTCTACTGTCGAGCAAAATTATTAATATTTAATGACTTGAAAAGCGGATTCTACTGACGAGCAAAGTTATAAAAAAGGACTCTACTGACGTGCAAATTGAATATCGTCTGGAAAAAAGTAAAAAAATTACAAGCAATCAATGAATGTATGTTAATTTTAATTACACGAAGTTCTTCAAACACAATTTTTACTCTAATCTAGGTTCGTTTCTAAATGAAGGTTCGTTTCTAAATGCTAATTACAATGACAAACCGATCATATCGTATTTGAAGTATGACTTTAATTAAATTATTGTTTTTAAATATTATACATATTTTAATGCTATTATAGATATTTAATTTTTAATTTATCATTATATAAATGTGTACAATGATTGACGACACTAATAAATATGTGCATCACGAGTGTTACCTACCATATTACTAATAAACATTATTCTAAATTGTTATATGATGTATTTATTTTTACTTAAATGCCATCTTGTACAGTAGCAAATAAGTTTTACTTCAATCGCGTGTGAACCTTACGCGCACTCTTTTTTTACATGTTCTATATATAGTTCTCCGTAAAATGAACTATCGATTTTTTGATCGGATCAAAAATCGAATTTTGGCAGTCCAAAAACGACCAAAATTTTGGGTAAAATTCGACTTTTTTTAAAAAAAAATAACGCCGTCATTTTGACAATTTTTGATTTTTTTTCTTTATCGTAGTTCATTTTACAGACAAATTTATCTAGTTTAACGAGATTTTTTTTTTAAATTTCTTTTACGTAGAAGGCCGGAATCACTGCAGCAGTGAAGGACCTTTTTTTTGTCGCGCCGTTGGAGATCGACGATAACTTAAAAAATATTTAATTTTTTTCTTCAAAAATTTTACTATTAATTCTTAAAACATGTATAAATATATTCCTAAAATTTTGAAATGATTGATAAAGTAGTTTTTTTAATATAAATTCCCAAAAATCACCTTTCTTTTAGGCGGTTACACTAGTTGTGCCCCTACAATCACTCGACAAATATTTACTAGCCAGATTTTTCCCTTAGGTATCCATACTTCTTTCGTACAATTGGTGAAAACAAGCAGTACGTCTACGTTTACCTAAAATTGATGCAACTTTTGGGTTGGCGTCGTGTTGCATCTTTAACCGAAGAAGGACAAAAATATTCAGAGTATATACCTCATCTAGAACAAACTTTGCAGGAAAACAATGTGCAGCTTATAGCAAATGCCAAGTTTCCAAAAGAACGTGAACATTCTGCAATGACTAGGGTAAGTGATAAAAATCCATATCCAATAGGTAACTTGTTACTGACTTGTTTATATTGTAGTATCTACTGGACTTGCAAAAACGTAGAGCCAAAATTATAATAGCCGATGTCTACGATCCAGTAGCAAGAGCAATTATGTGCGAATCTTTAAGACTTGGCATGACTGCCAAAGATGGTTATGTCTGGTTTTTGCCAACCTGGTTGACCACCGGCTGGTGGAACACAACTTTGCATAATGGAAATAAAGAAAACATATCTTGCACTGAAGAAGAAATGCTGGAGGTTAGTATTTACCATACTTCTAGTCTCTTCATACATTTTTTAATTAAGAATTAATAAAGGGACTCTACTGACGAGCAAATGTAATCTAGAATTAAAAAAGGGACTCTACTGACGAGCAAACTAATCTAGAATTAATAAACGCACCCTACTGACGAGCAGACGAGTATTTCAGTTTGCTCGTCAGTTCATATAATGCAAAATATAGTTTGCTTGTCAGTAGAGTCCTTTTTATTTTCATGTCTAGTAAAATACGGTTGATGATGAAAAATACTAAATACAAAAATTCAAAAAATTACCCAGGATAAGTACAGTCTAAGCGCCACTCTTGTACAAATGTTTACTCAAGTGCGTTTAGACTGTTTATGTACTGGAGCACTTTTCCAATTTTGTGAAAACTATTGAAAAATGTGAAAATGTCGTCAAGCTAAGCACAGTATAAGTGAAAATGTCGCACAGAATTATTTGCACATGCGTTTAGACTGTGACTGTGCGGAAGCACTTTTTCAATTTAGTGCAAATTAGGCAATTTTTTTTTTTTTGAAATTGAATTCGAAATGAAATGACGATTGTTAATGTTCTGGAGATAATTTGATTTATGATTTATTTTAGTTTTATTATGGTTTGGGAAGTTCCAGCAATTTACCTTAAGGAAGTCCTATTTTATTTTAAAATTTCAATTGTTTTAAATTTTGAAACAATATTCTTTTGTTGTCAAAAATGATTCAGATATAAATTTTAATTTCAGATAAATAAACTATAGAAATGTAATTTCGGGTTAAAAAATAAAAAAAACTACCCAGACTAAGCACAGTCTAAGTGAAGTGGCGCAAATATATTTGCAAGTGTGTTCGGACTGTTTCTATATTGGAGCACTTTTCCAATTTTATGTAAATTATAAAAATGTATTTTAGAGTTAAAAAAATTTGAAAAAATGTGAAAAACCACCCCTACCAAGCACAGTCTAAGTGACAAGCCAGTACAAAAATTTTTGCAAGTGCGTTCAGAATGTGACTATGCAGGAGCGTTTTTATAAATTTTGTGAAAACTATTAAAAAATGTGTAAATGCCGCCAAGCCAAGCGCAGTATAAGTGAAAATGTCTTATTAGAATTATTTGCAAATGCGTTTAGACTGTGATTATACTGGAGCACTTTTTCAGTTTTGATATTAATATTGAAAACTATGATTTTTTATTTATTTTTCAGATCATTTTTTAATTTGCTCGTCAGTAGAGTCTAATTTTTTTAATATTGCTAAAAAAATTTGCTAATCAGTATAGTTCTTTTTTTATTTTGCTTATTTTTTTAATAATTTGCTCGACCCTTTTTATATTCAAGATTCTTTAATAATCTTATTGGTCAGTAGTGTCCCTTTTTCATTTTCTTCTAGATTATTCAATAATTTGCTCGTCAGTAGGATCCTTTTTTTCAATTTCTAGATTATTTAATAATTTGCTAGTCAGTAAAGTCTCTTTTTTATATTCTAGATTATTCAATAATTTGCTTGCCGGTAGAGTCCGTTTTTATTTTCTTCTAGATTATTTAATGATTTGCTCGTCAGTAGAGTCCCTTTTTCAATTTCTGGGTTAAATAATAATTTGCTCGTCAGTAGAGTCCCTTTTTTATATTCGAATTTTGTGTAAATCAGGCAACTATTTTTTTTTTTTGAAATTGAATTCGAAATGAAATGACGATTGTTAATGTTCCTGGAGATAAATTGATTTATAATTTACATTTGATTTGCTCAGATATAACAAGATAGCAAAAATAATGAAAGTTACTACAGTATTTGTAATAATATATTTGAAAACGTTTAAAATTTCTCGAATATTTCATTACGGTACGGGAAGTTCCAGCAATTTGCCTTAAGGCACGATGCCATAAACCACTAGTTTTATTTTAGCATTAGAATTTTAAATTAGCTTGTCAGTAGAGTCCTTTTTTGTTTTTACATTTTAATTTGCTCGTCATTAGAGTCCTTTTTTGTATAATTGGTCGTCAGTAGAGTCCCTTTTTTATGGACATTTTAAATTTGATCGTCAGTAGAATTCCATTCTGTATTGGCATTTTAATTTGCTCGTCAGTAGAGTCCCTTTATGTATTTCCATTACAAATACGCTCATTAGTAAAGTCCCTTTTTGTATTAGAATTTCAATTTGGTCGTCAGTAGAGTCTCTTTTTCTATTAACATTTTAAAGTTGCTCGTCAGTAAAGTCCTTTTTTTATTTTCTAGATCTAATTTAAATTTGCTCGTCAGTAAAGTCACATTTTGTACTGAAATTTTAATTTGCTCGTCAGTAGAGTCCCTTTTTGTATTAAAGTTTTAATTTGCTCGTCAGTAGAGTCCCTTTTCTCTAAAAATTTTAATTTTATTGTCTTGTACTGTAATGATACAACTTTCTCAATTTTGTGAGAAAACTATTGAAAAATGTTAAAATGCCGCCAAGCCAAGTACAGTATAAGTGAAAATGTCGCACCGAATTATTTGCAAGTGCATTTAGACTGTGACAGTACGGGAGCACTATTTCAATTTTGTGTAAATTGGGCAACTATTTTTTTATTTACGATTTATGATTTACATTTGATTTGCTCAGATATAACAAGCGAGATAGCAAAAATAATGAAAGTTATTACAGTATTTGTAATATATAATATATTTGAAAACGTTTATTATCTCTCGATCATTTCATTACGCTACGGGAAGTTCCAGCAATTTCCCTTGATGCCATACACCACTAGTTTACTATCAAATTCTTCCTGCAGGCTATAGAAGGTCATCTGTCCCTCACCCATGCCTTTTTTGCTCCCGATGATCAAATAATGCAAGAAGGCAGGACTGTTGGTGAGTGGCGAAGGGCCTACCAGGCCAGATGTGCCCGAAGGAGAGTCCAGGAAAGTGTTTATGCAGGTTATGTCTACGATGCTGTTTGGACATATGCTTTGGCCTTGCACGAGTTGACCAGAAAGAACCCGATGGCTATTGCGCAGATGCACTCATTGAACACAACAAGGTAAAAAATAATAGGCATAAGTTGTGCCTTAAGGCAAAACAAACTACCTTTTGTTAAATTTGTTAAAAAAAAATTTAATTAGATTTTTTTGATAATTTTGGACTTTTTCCAAAATTTTGAGGATTTTTTGGATTTTTTTTTAAATCGAGAATTTAGAAATTTTTGTTTATATAAGATATAAATATAATCATAAATATAAATATAACTATAAAATATTTTTTTGAAAATTTCGAAATATTCTTAAAATTTTTGTAAGAGGCCGATTTTTTTTTTAATTTTGATATTTTTTAAAATTTTTATGAAATTTTTCAGAATTTAGATTTTTTTTAACACAATGAAAAAATTGAAATCTACTGACGAACGATTGCATGAATTATTTTACAAAATTTTGAATTTTTTTTTTAAAATCATTATTTTTGTATTTTTTTAATCAATAATTTGAAAATGTTTGAAAATATTCGATTTTTTTTTATAAAATTTTGAAATATTGTCAAAATTCTTGTAAGAAACTTGATACGGAATAGAAAATTAATAAAAGGACTACTGACGAGCGAAAGAATATAAAATTATTAAAAAGGACTCTACTGACGAGCAAAAGCCGGAAAATTAATGAAAAGACTCTATTGACGAGCAAAAGTCGAAAAATTAATGAAAGGACTCTACTGACGAGCAATAACTAAAATATACAACTGACGAGTAAAAGGACAGAAAATTATTAAAAAGACTCTACTGACGAGCAAAAGCTGAAATATACAAAAAAGACTCTACTGGCGAGCAAAAGGATAGAAAATCATTAAAAAGACTCTACTGACGAGCAAAAGCTGAAATATACAAAAAAGGGACTCTACTGACGAGCGAACTAATCTAGAATTAAAAAGGAGACTCTACTGACGAGCAAAAGGATAGAAAATTATTAAAAAGGGACTCTACTGACAAGCAAAAGGATAGAGAATTATTAAAAAGGGACTCTACTGACGAGCAAAAGCCAAAATATACAAAAAAGAGACTCTACTGACTAGTAAAAAGATAGAAAATTTATAAAAAGGGACTCTACTGACGAGCAAAAGAATAGAGAATTATTAAAAAAAGACTTTACTAACGAGCAAAAGCCAAAATATACAAAAAAGGTACTCTACTGACGAGCAAAAGAATAGAAAATATACAAAAAAGGATTCTACTGACGAGCAAAACCCCAAAAAATTGACACAAAATATGTACACAATATTAAAATCTCTATAAAACAATTTGTCTCCGTAACGGCTAGACCTGCCTTTGCCAAAAACTTATCAGCACGTCTCCCCTTGGAATTGAATATTTTTCTGAATTACTTAAATCGGTTGATCGGTGTTCGTGAAATCGTCGACGAAAATTTGTATCCGCACACACATACATACACGCACACACACACACATATACATACACACACATACATACATTTTTTCTAAGGTATGCCAAAATATTCAGAAACCTTTGAAACGTAAAGATATATAAAAAAATCATTTTCGATATATTTGCGATTACTTTAACTTGGTAAAGATGATTGTGATAAACTGTTATTTTTCTCTTCGTCAGTCAATTGATGGAGATAATCGAGAAAACGGATTTCAATGGTGTTTCTGGAAGGATTAAGTTCTATGGTGGTCCATCCAGGTTTTCAGTTGTGCACATCATGCAGTGGCAAAAGAATCAGTCAAAGTTAATTGGATCGTTTCATCCGAATATCACGGAAGATACTGCGCAGGTAAAATACCTATCTACTTGTGGGTTTGATAGAAAACAAATTATTCATGTCATGACATTTTTTATATTTTTATAATTATATATTTTAACACAATTTTATAAAACATAGAAATATCTTTTTACTTATTTATATATTTCTACACTGATGACCTACGACATTTACAATGTAGATAGTAATTGAACAGGGATACAAGAATTGAAAAAAAATATAGAGTATGCCAACGGAAGTCCGGTGTCATGGCTAGAGTAAATGCGTTAAGGGGGGCGATACATGTAACAAGAAAAAAAAAATCGATTTTTTTTTCATAAATCGTTACAATAACATCTCAAAAATATGCCTGTAAATATTCAAAACAAAATTATCATTATTTATACAATAAAAACTCATTTAAGTGCCACGCCTCAACTCGACGCTTGAGTGCTATTTACTCTTATCTGTTTCTATGTGTCAAAACTTTAAACGCGTTTTTCTCAAAACGACATTTTTGGAATTTGCGGGCGGGATAACTCAAAAAGTTCTCAACCGATTCCAATGAAATTTTGCACATATCTACTTTACAGTAATAGCTTCTAGTTAAACCTCAAACATTCCAAAAAAAATTTCAAAAATTAACCCTTTTACCAAAAAAAACCATTGAAAAAAAGGTGAAAAATCGAACTTTTTTTCTGAGGTGTGCCAATTTACGATTTTGTGACTTTCTTAATTTTTTTTTGGTTTAACTAGAAGATATATGTTTTATGAACACGTACAAACTAATTTTTTTGATTTCAAATCACCGTACGAAAAGTGAGAACGCCCGCAAATTGATGGCGTTTTCCGAGAGGGTCTTGGCAGATTTATTTTTACGGCAGCCATTTTAGAAAAAAAAATTAAAAAAAAATTTTTTTTGTGTATTTTAATATATAATAAATAACCCTAAAAAAGTTCAAAAAGATTCAGTCATTCCTTCCTAGTTTAAAAAGTCCTCAAAAAATGGTAAAAATTAAGGCGATTACATGTATCGCCCCCCTTAAGACCCGAGGACTGGGCGTACCTTTTAAGTAGCCAACGGAAAACTAGTGATTAGGACATTGCACAAAAGTCTATATTTTTTATTCCTGATTCATGCTCTTTTGTATAAAAATATATTCAATTTATTGATTATAAAATTTCATGATATAAAAGTGACAAGTCATTTTTGTTTCTGTCTCAATTACAAAGCTAGCTGGATCCCCATAGATATTTTACAGGTTTTCTAATATTCTTTTCTCCAGGTGACTGGTGGTGTTCTAAATCTAGACGAATCGTCCCTAATCTGGCCCTCGGGCCAGATCCCAAGTGACGGCGGAAGCGACGATGAAGACTTTTTGGAAAGATCTTGTGCCTTTGCAGGGCTCGCCAGAGCCTTAGGCTGGGGTTGCAATAAAACCATCGTTTTGGTCAACGTGATTATTTTTGGAATTGCCGGAATTATTATCGGAGGAGCTTTGTTCTTCATTAGAAAACGGTGAGTTAGATAAATAGTAAAAAATTATTATTAAGTGGTAATGTGTGTTTCAATTCCAGGTATGAAGAGAAGTTGAAGAAGTCTCAGAAGTACATGAAGAATTATGGTTTGGATCTTTTGAACATCGGTGGTTTGGACAAATGGGAGATGGCAAGGGATCGTGTAGTCATCAACAGGTACAGCCAAAAATATCAATATGTAAACCACGGTGTATATCATCGTGCATTAAGGCAAATTGCTGGAACTTCCTGTACCGTAACGAAATGTTCGAGAAATTTTAAACGTTTTCAAATATATTATTACAAATACTCTGTAACTTTCATTATTTATGCTATATTGCTATATCTATGAGCAAATCAAATGTAAATCATAAACCATAAATCAATTTATTTCCAGAACATTAACACTCGTCATTTCGTTTCAAATTCAATTTCAAAAAAATAGTTAGTTGCCTAATTTACACAAAATTGGAAAAGTGCTCCCGTATAGTCACATTCTAAACGCATTTGCAAATAATTCTGTGCGACATTTTCACTTATACTGTGCTTGGCTTGGCGGCATTTTCACATTTTTTAATAGCTTTCACAAAATTTATAAAAACGCTTCAGTATAGTCACATTCTAAACGCACTTGCAAAAATTTTCGTACTGGGTTGTCACTTAGACTGTGCTTAGCAGGGGTATTTTTTCATATTTTTTCAAATTTTTTTAACTCGACATTAAATTTGTATAATTTACATAATAAAATTGGTAAAGTGCTCTCGTATAGTCACATTCTAAATGCATTTGCAAATGATTCTGTGCGACATTTTCACTTGTACTGTGCTTAGCTCGGTGGCATTTTCATATTTTTTAATAGTTTTCACAAAATTTATTAAAACGCTCCAGTATAGTCACATTCTAAACGCGCTTGGGTAAACATTTGTACCAGAGTGGCGCTTAGACTGTGCTTAGTCTGGGTAATTTTTTGAATTTTTGTATTTAGTATTTTTAATCATAAACTGTGATTTACCGGACATGAAAATAAAAAGGACTCTTCTGACAAGCAAACTATATTTTGCATTATATGAGCTGACGAGCAATCTGAAATACTCGTCTGCTCGTCAGTAGAGTCCCTTTTTAGTTCTAGATTAGTTTGCTCGTCAGTAGAGTCCCTTTTTAGTTCTAGATTAGTTTGCTCGTCAGTAGAGTCCCTTTTTTAATTCTAGATTGGTTTGCTCGTCAGTAGAGTCTTTTTTTGTAGATTTCTAGATTAAGTTTGCTCGTCAGTAGAGTCCCTTTTTAAATTCTAGATTACATTTGTTCGTCAGTATAGTTCCTTTTTTAATTCTAGATCAGTTTGCTCGTCAGTAGAGTTCCTTTTTTAATACTAAAAATGCGGACATACAAAACACGAACACACACACATCCATTTAGTTTCTGAGGTATGTCCCTTAAAAATGTTCAGAAACCTACAAAACGTCGAGAAATGAAAATATTTTCATTTTCGATTTTCGGTCCATTACTATAACTACCCTACGGAAAGTTAAAAAAGTACCATGTTTACTTTATCTATTTTTCCAGGAAACTCGGCGAGGGTGCTTTTGGTATGGTTTACGGCGGTGAAGCCCATTTTGAGGACGGTTGGGCAGCTGTCGCCGTTAAAACTCTAAAAATCGGTTCAGACACCGAAGAAAAACTAGACTTTCTATCCGAAGCAGAATCGATGAAACGATTTGATCACAAGAACATTGTCAAGCTGTTGGGTGTGTGCACTACTAATGAGCCTGTGTACACTATTATGGAATTTATGCTTTATGGAGACTTGAAGACTTATCTTTTGGCCAGAAGGCATTTGGTGAACGACAAGAGCATGGATGCTGATGAAATTTCTAGCAAGAGGTAAGATAAAGATAAAAGATTAAAAGATAAAAAAATATTAAAAGGACTCTACTCAAGAGCTAAAGATGAAAATACAAAAGTGACTCTATTAACGAGCAAAAGGATTGAAAATTAATGAAAGGACTCTACTGGCGAGCAAAAAGATAGAAAATATACAAAAAAGAGACTCTACTGACAAGCAAAAGGATAGAAAATTATTAATAAAAGGACTCTACTGACGAGCAAATTAATCTAGTATTAAAAAACGGACTCTACTGACGAGCAAACTGATCTAGTATTAAAAAAGGGATTCTACTGACGAACAAATTAATCTAAAATTAATAAAAGGACTCTACTGACAAACAAACTAATACAGTATTAAAAAAGGGACCCTACTGACGAGCAAACTGATCTAGTATTGAAAAAGGGACTCTACTTACGAGCAAACTAATCTAGAATTAAAAAGGGAACTCTACTGACGAGCAAACTGATCTAGTATTAAAGAATGGGACTTTACTGACGAGCAAAGTATTGAAAATTAATAAAAGGACTCTACTGACGAGCAAAAGCTAGAAAATTAATGTAAGGACTCTACTGACGGGCAAAAGCTATAATATACATAAAGGGACTCTACTGATGAGCTAATAATAAAATATAGCTATTAAATAGATGCACATTATCACATGTTCACTAACAAGAAACAATAAAAATGTTATTTTTATTCTAAACATTTCCGATCAAATTCATCAACTTACCCTACAAAAGCGAATGTCTAATTAATTAATTATCTAAATGGACAAGTCAATTTAATTAATATCAATAATTACAAAAACCAATCTAATTATTTTTTCATTTATTCATTAACTTCCCGAATGAGTTTATGTATTTGCGAGAAAATCCGATTTGCTAATTGTACGGTTTCTCGACGTTTTAAGTCATTGTGATGGGTCACATAAAGGGTCAAAATTTCGTCTCATTAATTATGTCGTGTGGGGTATCATTTAGAAGGTCTCGACGGACCTAATTTAAATATATAATTGACAGATAACAGTAGGGAACTGTATAATACATATTTTTCGATACTTGCGATTGATTTTTATTTTAATTAAGATTGTATAGTATATATAGTTGCTGTGAGGCATTATGATGTTAGACAATATTATACGTTATTTAATTTTGAACAAATTTGCCAAATATTCCATTAAAATCAGATTTACTCGTAAGCAGAGTCCCTTCATTGATTTTCTATTTTTTTGCTCATCAGTAGAGTCCCTTTTTTGTATATTTCAGCTTTTGCCCGTCAGTAGAGTCTCTTTTTCAATTCTAGATTAGTTTGCTCGTCAGTAGAGTCCCTTTTTTAATTCTAGATTAAGTTTGCTCGTCAGTAGAATCCATTTTTTTAATTCTAGATTAAGTTTGCTCGTCAGTAGAGTCCATTTTAATAATTTTCTATCCTTTTTCTTTCCTAGGTTGACCCAAATGGCTTTAGATGTCGCGAGTGCCCTAAGTTATTTGGCAGAAATGAAATACGTGCACAGGGATGTCGCATGCAGAAATTGTCTGGTAAATGCTCAACGTGTGGTAAAACTTGGCGACTTTGGTATGACCAGAAGAATTTGCGAGAAGGAGTACTATAAATTCCTCAGACGGTAAGTTAATGCATACAAGTATCAATTTATCTGTTATACCGGTTTTTTTAAGTAAAACTTCTTTAGGCGCGACATGGGTGTAAAAACTTCTTTAGGCGCGACATGGGTTAGCAGTATAATTCGTGAGTTAATAAAAATGTCAGGATCGGAAGAATATTTTATCCCGTGCCCCATAAATAATTGTAGTGCAAATAATCGCAAATAAATAATGAAACTAAGGAAAAATGTGCGCTGCGTAAGAAATGATAGCTTTGGCTATGTATGTTTTGTGTGTTTTTGTGATCGACTTTGGCTTCAAAGTGACTTAAAAATATCAAATGATGCTCAAAAACAAATTCTTAATAATGTTTTTTGAATATTGATTCAAATAATCAGGTTGGATGTCAAACTTGTCGAAAGATATTAAATTCGGGTGAAATTCCCACTTTGTGTAAATTTAACGGGTTTGTATTTCCACCTATACCAAATTATCTACCTAAACTAGATACTGTACCTGAAAAAATAATTTCACCTAGTTTCATGCAAATTAGACGATTGCGACATGCAAATGGATAATTTCGAATGTTTGGCCAAATTATAAATGTGCCTGTTGACATTAATAATATGGTTAATTTATTACCTCGTAATATTGATGATGATCATTGCATTAACGTTCACATAAAAAAGCAAATGATTCATAGATCAAGCTATGTGCAGGGCTTGATAAATAAAACAAATATAAAAGTATGGCTTCAATTTGTTAAACAAAACGGATATTACAGCTGTTCAAGGAATGAGATTATATCGTCAGCGAAAAAGTAAAAAAATACAAACAGTAAATGAATGTATGTTAATTTTAATTACATGAAGTTCTTCAAACACAATTGTTACAGGATGAGTTAATTTGCAAAAACAATATTTGTTTAGGCGTTGTTTAACATAATCCACTGTGTGAATGAATATTATAGAATTTATTAATCAGCAATTACTTTAAAACGATCATGTCATATTTCAAGTACGACTTTGATTACATTATTGTTTGTAAATATTATACATATTTTTAATGCAATCATAAATATATAAATTATAAATTATCATTATATAAATGTGTATAATGATTGACGACACTAATAAATGTGTGCATCACGAGTGTTATCGCATATTACTGATAAACATTATTCAAAATTTTTATATGATGTATTTATTTTTACTCAACTTAAATTTGCTACTTTATACAGTAGCAAATAAGTTTTACTTCAATCGCGTGTGATCCTTACGCGCACTCTTTTTGTTCTTCAGAGGTATGTTACCAGTTCGTTGGATGGCTCCTGAGAGCCTCGGAGACGGTGTTTTCACAACAGCCTCCGACGTTTGGTCATACGGAGTCCTTCTTTACGAAATCGTGACATTCGGCAGTTTTCCTTTTCAAGGAATGTCTAACAACCAGGTTTTGGAGCACGTCAAAAAAGGCAACACTTTAAAAATACCACAAGGAATCAAACCACAATTGTAAGTAAACCCCAAATAGTGCAGTAAACGGAGAGGAAAAAAGGGTATAACCTCTGAATTTTTTTACTTGTGCTCCGAGTTGAATGAAATTTTGGAATTAGGTTCATCTTAGCCTCAAGTTCAACAGTGCAAATAATTCTGATGACACCCCTTCTCAATTGTGTATTTACATTTTTTCAAAATAACGTCGGAAATCGATAGAAGAACTAATTATAAGAACAAAATGTCACTTATAGTTTTTCAAAAAAACGTAAATACTTTTCAAGTTACTGGCCACTAAAAATTCATAAATTTTGGCGTTTTTCTTCGTCCTTTTGTAAATATCTCCTAAAATATACATTTCAACAAAAATCGTGTAATAAACAAAATAATGCCAGTACAAGTCTTAATAAATCGGTATTTCATAGAGTGTTCTAGGAATAATATCAAGCTAGATTTGAAAGAGCAAAGTTGTTTCTTATTTCGTTCAAGATTTAATTGTTGTATTTAAAGCCATTTAGTGTCGAGATTTTACATTTTCTGCATTTCGGTGAAATTGGGTTTTATAGTGTTTAACATAAGCTTTGGAATGAGTGCTGTTACAAGTTTTTTGCGTGTAAAATGAGTGGGCTAACACGCAAATAAGAAGCATATACGAAGTTTTTTTCTTTTAAATCATATGGTTTAATGAGCGCCACTTCCACCAGAATTAAAGTAATTCACATTCCATCTAGAATTCGCTTCATTATAGACATCTTGGTGGATTCTAGCAGATTCACTAATAAAAGATACGTTTAAGAGCATATAGATAAAAATCAAAGGGATCTTTCTGGCTTATTACAGTTTTTTATTATTGACAGAGTTATGATTGTTTAAAGAGTGCGCGGCCGCGCAATCAGAGTCTCTCTCGAGCCCTTTAACCCTTCGCCGTTTCAAAATGAGAGGAGTTATGAAAAAAATTATGATAAAAATAGTTGTAGCCCTTTTATTAACCTTTCAAATGGTGTATTACAAATTGTGATGGAGTCGAAATTAAAGGAGTAATGACCCGAAAACTAATCGCATTTTTAACTTCCCGTAGGGTAAGTTATTGTAATGGGCCGAAAATCGGAATTGAAAATTTTTACATTTCTCGACGTTTTGAAGGTTTCTGAACGTTTTGGCATACCTCAGAAAAAATGGATGTGTGTGTGTGTGTGTGTGTGTGTGTGTATGTATGTATGGATACAAATTTTCGTCCACGTTTTCGGGCGTACGGATCAACCGATTTGAATGGTTTAAAAAACATTCGATTCCTATTAATAAGGAGAAGAGCTGATTAGTTTTTGGCAAAGACAGGTCCAGCAGTTACGGAGATAAGGAGCAAAGAGTGCAGAAAATAGAAATCGAGTTTGTGAGAGAACGGAGCATCCGATTTGAATTATCTAAAAAACATTCCATTAGTAATGATTGGGAGAAAGGGTTATTAGTTTTTCGCAAAGGCAGGCCCAGCCATTTCGGAGATACAGAGCTAAATGTACAAAAAATGGCAGTTTTTGAGAGAACTAAGCGTCCGATTCAATTGATTCAAAGAACTTTCTGCTTGTCTTAACAAAATAATTGATTTTGGAAAAAAAAATTTTGTACCATTTTTTTTTTTTTTTTTTTTTTTTTTTTTTTTTTAATTTTTTGTATATCGAAAATAATTCAGATTTTATTTTTAATTCTGACTATAGTTCTAATATACTGTAAACAAATAATTTCAACTCTGCAATTCAGTTTATATAATTCTTATAAATATTAGACAATAATACAATATTTATAATAATCTATTTGAAAACATTCAATATTCCTCGAACGTTTCGTTACGGTACGGGAAGTTCCAGCAATTTGCCTTAAGGCACGATGCCACCCACCCCACTAGTTATCGAATTGTGTCCATATCTCGAGAAATGTATAAGTAAGCAGTATATATATATATATATATATATATATATATATATGTTCTTGGGCATCCATCCAGTAATTAAAAACAGTTTTATTGAAACAAAATGTTTTTATTATGAAAACATACGTTTCGGGTCTTGATTTGACCCATATTCAGTGCTTATTTGTATGGAGAGCACTATTTACATATATAGTAGTAAAATTAGAATTATTTTGAAAATTCATGCTGTTTAAAATTAAAAAATACTTGAAAATGATCAAAATCTTGGAGTTGTAACTTCAGTGTAGTATTGGTTCTAAGTGTCCTTACAAATAAGTCTTGATATGTAGAAATTGCAAAATATCTTGAGGATTTTTTTGAGTCTTGAAACTTGTAGAATATTTGAAAAACAATGGCTTGAAATTGACAAAAAATCTTGAATATTTTACGTATAGTAAAGTATCTTATGGCTGAAAGGTCCACGTGTTAATTAAATTAATATAGTTTTATATCACTATAGTAAAATGAAAGTTTAATAATTGCAGTAACAAGAACAACAAATATACGAGTTTAGACAAAATTATACTGTTATGTTAACTGTTTTTATTCAAGGGTAGTTTTAAGAGTTGAACAAATTATGGATATGGTAATTATTTTTGGGAAATTGAAATAACATTCATATCATTTTGAATTTCTTAATTTTCTTTCAATTTCAAAATAATTTTTTCAAACAATTTTTCATCAAGGGGTTGTTTTTAAGGTAACCCTTAAAAGGGTTAAGAATTTGATAATCAAGATAGAAAACATAAAATATCATTTACTTTATACGTAATTCTTATTATATCATACCGAAATTTATTTTTAAGTGTTTTTTTTTCAATTTAGAGATTGTTTGAAGGGTTTTAGGGTTTTCACGGGGTTGAAAATGATTTTATTGCAAGATAAATGTATTAAAAAATATTTTGTAATTGTATCCTTTAATATTAGGTTGTCAAATATCTCCCTTCCGCTTTTTTGCTCTTGGTTTATAATACAAAAAGGCGGAAGGGAGATATTTGACAACCTATTATTAAAAACGTTTTCTATCGATAAAACAGCTCAATGTCCACTTATTTATTAAAGGGTCGCGAATAGTTTTCACTTTTGAGCTTTAGGTTAAGATGAACCTAATTCCAAAATTTCATGCAAATTGGAGCACAGTAAAAAAATTCAGAGGTTATTCCCTTTTTTTCCTCTCCGTTTACTGCACTAATATTTTTTTTCAAAAACAAATGCAAATAATGAAACTATGCTTAGTGAGAGATGTTATGGTCATAAAGAACAATTGTAAAATATTATAGGCCTATGAAAAGTGGTAAAAAAAATCAGAGGTTATACCCTTTTTTCCTCTCCATTTACTGCACTCATATTTTTTTCAAAAACAAATGCAAAGAATGAAACTATGCTTAGTGAGAGAGTTTATGGTCATAAAGAACAATTGTAAAATATTATAGGCCTATGAAAAATGGTAAAAAAGTTCAGAGGTTATACCCTTTTTCCTCACCGTTTACTGCACTGATATTTTTTTCAAAAACAAATGCAAAGAATGAAACTATGCTTAGTGAGAGAGTTTATGGTCATAAAGAACAATTGTAAAATATTATAGACCTATGAAAAGTGGTAAAAAAAATTAGAGGTTATACCCTTTTTTCCTCTCCATTTACAAACAAAGTCTGGTTTTATCAATTATCATTCATCATAACTCCTTTACCCCAGGCAAGGTCTAATAAAATCCTGCTGGAACCTAGATCATCGCACTCGTCCCCAGGCATCAGCAATAGTAGATTTCCTGGCAGGTTCGCCCAGGTTACTGCATCCTTGTCTGGATGTGCCTTTAGCTTCTGTGCAGACTGGTGATATATCAAGTGATCTGATTCAACAACGTCCGCCAAATGTTATCGAAAGATGTTCTCCGAATATGATGGACAAATTAGGCCAGCAACCGAATCTTATTGATAATTGTCCACAAGTTGTGGTCGAGGATGTTGATGATCCTACGCCTTATAGCACTGCTGTTTTGACGCCTCTTATACCGCGGATACCGCGGTATAATGTGAACTCTGGGGATTGTGGGGCGAAGTTTTCGCCCATGAAGTGTGATGTGGGGTAGTAAATGACGAGGGATTTTATAGAGTTATGTGGTCGAAGATGTTGATGATTCTACGTTTTGACGCCTCTTATACCGCGGATACCGCGGTATAATGTGAACTCTGCGGATTGTGGGGGGAAGTTCTCGCCCATGAATTGTGATGTGGGGTAAAAGGTGACGAGGGATTTTATAGAATTATATTATGGTCGAAGATGTTGATCATCCTACGCCTTATAGCACTGCTGTTTTGACGCCTCTTATACCGCGGATACCGCGGTATAATGTGAACTCTGCGGATTGTGGGGGGAAGTTTTCGCCCATGAAGTGTGATGTGGGGTAGTAAATGACGAGGGATCTTGTGATTAATTTTTTAGTGAAAAAGTGAATAGGTGGTCTAATAATGTTCTATTTTAGATCATGTTTAATTTTAGATTAAGGGGGTATTCTAGTGTAGAACGATGAATTTTAGGTCATTTTTAAAGTGTCGTAAAAGAAAGCAATGAATGTTTCTACTATCCATTTTTTACCACTTGTTTATTAATATTATTAAAATACAGAACAAAAATAAAAAAATAAAAAAATGAAAATTGTAAAAACTGGCAGCTGATAAAGTGGGTGGTCTTAAAAAATTGGCACCTCAGTCTTGACACGATTTCAGCCATCGGAAATGCAAAAAATACAAAGATTATCAATCTACAATAATGTCGCAATCGGCTGAACTAGCGATAAGTAAAACAATTTTTTTTTCACAAATTGGCGACTGTTTGAAAAGAAAAACGTTTTTTTACTGTTTTTTTTTAGAGTTGAAAATTGTAAAAACTGGCAGCTGATGAAGTGGGTGGTCTCAAAAAATTGGCACCTCAGAAATAAAAGAAATAAAAAGATTATTAATCTATAATCTACATCTTCATCCATTAATCTACAATGATGTCGCAATCGGCTGAACTAGCGATAAGTAAAACAAATTTTTTTTCACAAATTGGCGACTGTTTGAAAAAAAAAGGTTTTTTTTACTGTTTTTTTGGGTTTCTCCATTTTTTAAAAATAGTAAAAATAGGAATTTCGGGACGATTCTAGTTCAGACTGTAGATAGATCTACAAACAAGACTCTCTGAAAATTTCAAATAAATCGGTCGATTAAAACTCCAGAAATCGTGACAAGAGTACTGAAAAAGTAAGTTCTGAGAAAAACGCATTTAAAGTTTTGCGTGAAGCAAAACCACTATGGGGACCGAGTCAGTAAAATGCCCATATCTCCGAAAATAATTCAAATTTTCAAAAATCTTCTCGTACCCATATTCTTAGATAGTTAAAGTTTGAAAATATGAAATAAAAAAAAAATCGATTCTTTGAATTTCTACACTAGAATACCCCCTTAATAGAAAAAATAGTGAGTGGACTTCTTAGAACTAAAAAAGTGAAACTTCGTAATGTGGAAAAGGTTGAAAACTGATTTTTTCCAAATTTTGGACAATTAGAGAGATACAAACTATTGTATGAGTAAAACAGAACGAGCATTAGTGCATTCATATACAAATTTATTATAAGTGCAACTTTTTGACGTCACTTTCATTTTTAATTTTATTTTATTATACCTATAAAATTTTAATCAAAAAAGACAATAATTTATCAAATATCAAACAGAGATAAGAAGATAAAAATTTAAGGCGCGTGTTTTTTTTTTCAAATGTTAGAAGTGCACAAACTTTGGACATATAAAAGATAGATGTATCTCAAACACCAGTATAATGCTATAAGAAATCGCTTAAAAAATAATCAAATGATCAGATAGACCACATCACAAATGTTCAGTAAAAAATTGATAAAATTGAAAGTAGTGTGTTACATATATATAGGTAAAATAGAAAGTTCTGGCATCACACAATGCAAAACGTGTAGAATAGTGATGACTATAGAAAAAATCAAAAAATTCTACTGCCTTTTGGGACAATTTTGCCTCATAGCATAGCGTTGTTATGGCTTCATAGCGATCTTATGCTTATTTATTAGTAGTGAAAATTATGAAAATGTCTATCTATTTGCACGGCAAATAGCTAGACATTTTCACAGTTCCACTAACAATAAACAAGCCGTTGCCATGATAACGTTATGTTATGATGCAGAATTGCCTATTAGTGTTCTCCACTTATTAAATGATGACAATTCTGCAAATTGATGTTGAAATGCTTAAAATTTTAATTGTAATATGACAAGAAATATTTTAGGTTTTTCCCCGAAAATTAGTTTCCCAAAATTTTTTCCCAAAAATTTTCTCCCCAAAATCCATGGTTTTTCCCCCAAAATTTTTTTTCACCAACATTTTTTTACAAAAAATCAAAGACTATAGTCCATGATTTTTCCCAGAAAATTTTTTTCCCCAAAATTTTTCTTTCAAAATTTTTTTCCCAAAAATTTTTTTGTCCAAATTTTTTTGTCCAAATTTTTTTGTCCAAAATTTTTTTTCCATTTTTTTTACAAAAAATCAATGACTATAGTCCATGGTTATAAGAATATTTGATTATAATATTTTAGCTTTAGGTTTCAACATCAACTAAATAGCACCTGTGATAATTAATTTATTTAAGAATATTTTTAAGTATTTTGCGCGAATTATAAGACTTAAAACATTTATGTATGTATATATCAAAGATTAGTACTAGCGTTATTAGATATAAAAAATATATAAAAATGTAGGAAGTTGTAAATATTAAATTTCAAATACGTATTTTTTGTTTTGCTCGTTAGTATAATCCCATTTTGCGAGGCCAATTCTCGGATTAATATACATTTTATATTACGGGTCTATATTTGTATGAAATGGTATTCAAGAACTATTTAAAAGCTATATATTTGCTGTGCGATTAGGCGTTTTACACATAAAGCCTAACCTCCAAATGGCACAAATGTAAAATAACAATTTTATCATAAGTATAACTTTCTGACGTCACTATGATAACATATACGTTAAAGTAAATTTAGATACATTTTTAACCCCTCAAAAATATTTTTCAATAATTAACACAAAAGTGAAAAAGTGCTCTCTTCAGTCACATTCTAAACGCATTTCTGAATATATTTGTTCGACCTTGTCGCTTAGACTGTGCTTATCCTGTGCGAATTTTCATGTTATTCAATAATTTTCACAAAACTGAAAAAGTGCTCCTGTTCAGTCACATTCTATACGTATTTTCGACTACATTTGTTCGACCATGTCACTTAGGCTGTGCTTGTCCTGTGTGCATTTTCATGTCATTCAATAATTTTCACAAAACTGAAAAAGTGCTCCTGTAAATTCACATTCTAAACACATTTGCGAATATATTTGTTCGGCCTTGTCACTTAGACTGTGCTTATCCTGTGCGAATTTTCATGTTTTTCTATAATTTTCACAAAACTGAAAATGTGCTCTGGTAGAGTCACATTATAAACGCACGTGCGAATACATTTGTTCGACTGTGTCACTTAGACTGTGCTTATCATGTGCGCATTTTTATGTTTTTCATCATTTTCACAAAACCTAAAAAGTGCTCCAGTTCAAAGACATTATAAACGCACTTGCGAATACATTTGTTCCCTCTTGTCACTTAGACTGTGCTTATCCTGTGCTAATTTTCATGTTTTCCAAAAATTTTTACAAAACTGAAAAAGTGCTCCTGTTCAGTCACATTCTAAACGTACTTTCGACTACATTTGTTCGACCATGTCACTTAGGCTGTACTTGTCCTGTGCGCATTTTCATGTTATCCAAAAATTTTCACAAAACTGAAAAAGTGCTCCGGTTGAGTCACATCTAAACGCACTTGCGAATATATTTGGTCGCCCTTGTCACTTAGACTGTGCTCATCCTGTACGAATTTTCATGTTTTTCGAAAATTTTCACAAAATTGAAAAAGTGCTCCCGAAAATTCACATTCTAAACTCATTTGCGAATACTTTTATGCGACTTTGTCACTTAGACTGTGCTTACCCTTTGCGAATTTTCAAGTTTTCTAAAAATTTTCACAAAACTGAAAAAGTGCTGCAAGTCAGTCACATTCTAAACGCACTTGCGAACACATTTTATCGACAATGTCGCTCAGACTGTGCTCATCCTGAGCGCATTTTCATGTTTTCCAAAAAATTTCACAAAACTGGAAAAGTGCTCCAGTAAATTCACATTCTAAACGCACTTGCGAATACATTTGTTCGACGTTGTCACTTAGACTGTGCTTATCCTGTGCAATAGTTTTCATGGTTTTCTATAATTTTTACAAAACTGGAAAAGTGCTCCAGTAAATTCACATTCTAAACGCACTTGCGAATACATTTGTTCGACGTTGTCACTTAGACTGTGCTTATCCTGTGCAATAGTTTTCATGGTTTTCTATAATTTTTACAAAACTGGAAAAGTGCTCCAGTAAATTCACATTCTAAACGCACTTGCGAATACATTTGTTCTACGTTGCCACTTAGACTGTGTATATCCTGTGCAAATTTTCATGTTATTCAATAATTTTCACAAAACTGAAAAAGTGCTGTAAATTCACATCTAAACACATTTGCGAATATATTTATTCGGCCTTGTCACTTAGACTGTGCTTATCCTGTGCGAATTTTCATGTTTTCCAAAAAATTTCACAAAACTGAAAAAGTGCTCCTGTTCACTCACATTCTAAACGCACTTGCGAATACATTTTTTCGACGTTGTCACTTTGACTGTGCTTATCCGGTGCGAATTTTCACTTTTTTCAATAATTTTCACAAAATTGAAAAGGTGCTCCAGCTCAGTCACATTCTAAACGCATTTGCAAATACTTTTATGCGACGTTGGCACTTAGAATGTGCTTATCCTGTGCGAATTTTCATGTTTTTCAACAATTTTTGACAAAACTGAAAAAGTGCTCCAGTTCAGTCACATTCTAAACGCACTTGCAAATACATTTGTTCGACCATATCGCTTAGACTATGCATATCCTGTGCGAATTTTCATGTTTTCCAAAAAAATTTCACAAAACTGAAAAAGTGCTCCTGTTCAGTCACATTCTAAACGTACTTTCGACTACACTTGTTCGACCATGTCACTTAGGCTGTGCTTGTCCTGTGCGCATTTTCATGTTATCCAAAAATTTTCACAAAACTGAAAAAGTGCTCCGGTAAACTTACATTCTAAACTCACTTGCAAATACATTAGTTCGCCCTTGTTACTTAGACTGCGCTTATTCTGTGCAAATCTTCATATTTTCCAAAATTTTTCACAAAACTGAAAAAGTGCTCCAATTCAGTCACATTCTAAGCGGACTTCCGAATACATTTGTTCGACGTTGTCACTTAGACTGTGCTTATCCTGGGCGAATTTTCATGTTTTCCAAAAATTTGCACAAAAGTGAAAAAGTGCTTCAGTTCAGTCACATTCTAAACGCATTTGCGAATACTTTAATGCGACGTTGTCACTTAGACTGTGCAATATCTCGTCCAAATTTTTATGTTTTTCAAAAATTTTCACAAAACTGAAAAAGTGCTCCTGCGCAGTCACATTCTAAACGCTCTTGCGAATACATTTGTTCGACGTTGGCACTTAGACTGTGCTTAGCCTGGGTATTTTTTCACATTTTCACCAGAAAAAAATGTTTCGCTTCACACATACTTGGAAAAATGCTCTTGTAAAATCAAATTGGTATTTGGTCCTTTTGGAGGTTAGGATTTGTGTGTAAAACGCTGATCCTACAACAATCGTGACTACAAACTCATACTATTATAGACCCGTAACATAGTTTTTCTATTTTATCAGAGAATTGACCATAATATTCAGTCAAAATTACACTTTTATTAAACTTCGTTTATATATTTAAAAAAATTGTAAATATCATAAATTGATATAGATAGCTTACAGTAATATATGAAAGTAGAAAAGGATGTCGAACTTATTCTCAAAAAAGCTTATAATAAAAAAAGATAAGAGGACAAAAATAGGGGAGCAATTCTGTTTCATAAAATAGCGTTGTCATGGCAACGCTATCTTATGCTTGTTTTTTGTTAGTAAAACTGTGAAAATGAAAACAGAATCTTCGATGATGCAATTATCATAAGATTTTTCCTTGCTTATTTATATGTGGAATACGCCAGTAGATATTTTCACATATTAACTAACAAGAAACAAATATTTGCCATGACAATGTTATTTTATGAGGCAGAATTGCCCTACAAGAGTCAAATAATTATATTTATTACTATTATTTTTTTATTTATAGAAATCACGACATGATTTTTAAAAATAAATTAAATTATGTATCCTACTTTATTTTTCTTAAGATAAATAAGTACTAAGATAAGAGAGCAATAGGCTTATATGTTTTATATTATATTATTTATGTTATAATAAGAGAAAATAATACACTAGTCATTTTTTATAATAATTTTAAGAAATACAGTATAATTTTATGGATTTATGTATTTATTGTATTGTTTGAAAGAATGAAACTATTTGTTTAAAATAAAATGAGATAAATTATAAATAGAGTAAATATTTGTTTCACTGACATTTTTAAAATTTGTGCACTTTTGTTTGTTTATTTAAAATGAAACCCATCAAGTATTCGCCAATTTTTTCTCAAAATAAAAAAACAAAATGTTAGTCGCAACTAGTATATATTTTTTCGTATTTTTTAATTTATTTTGCAATAAAGAAGTGTTTAGTTAAAAACTTTAAATTTACTGGACTTACTGCTGAGTGCAATTGGTAAGTTTCAATTTATAATATTTTATAAAAAATAATAATAAGTGAAAATTTTGTCACATTTTGTCATTTGTCACTCTTTATATACATTTTTAGTTAGTCGCAAATATTTCATACTTTTTACTAAAAAAATTATAAACTTTAGTATTTTTAACTTCCCGTAGGGTAAGTTATTGTAATGGGCCGAAAATCGGAATTGAAAATTTTTACATTTCTCAACGTTTTGAAAGTTTCTAAACATTTTAGCATACCTCAAAAAAATGGATGTGTGTGTGTGTATGTATGTATGGATACAAATTTCCAGTCACGTTTCCGGGCGAACGGATCAACCGATTTGAATGGTTCAAAAAGCATTCGATTCTATCGATAGGGAAAAGAGCTGATTAGTTTTTGGCAAAGGCAGGTCCAGCCGTTTCGGAGATACGGACCAAAGACTCTACTGACGAGCAAATGTAATCTAGAATTAAAATAGGGACTCTACTGACGAGCAAACTTGATCTAGTATTAAAAAAGGGACTCTACTGACAAGCAAATGTTATCTAGAATTTAAAAAGAGACTCTACTGACGAGCAAATAAAATCTAGTTTTAAAAAAGGGACTCTACTGACGAGCAAATGTAATCTAGAATTTAAAAAGGGACTCTACTGACGAGCAAACTTAATCTAGTATTAAAAAAAGGGACTTTACTGACGAGCAAACTTAATCTAGTGTTAAAAAGGGACTCTACTGGCAAGCAAATTTAATTTTGGTAAAAAAAAAATATAAAAGGGACTCTACTGACGAGCAAACTTAATCTAGAATTAAAAAAGGGATTCTACTGACGAGCAAACTTAATCTAGAATTTAAAAAGAGACTCTACTGACGAGCAAATGTAATCTAGGGACTCTACTGACGATAAACTTTAGTATTTTTTAACAACATACTGAAATTGCAAAGTTTGTAGTACAAACGGTGCGTCCTAAATAAAATAAACAATTATCAAATCAAATTGTATATATTAATCAACTTCATAAAATAACAACAAATATCACATTTAAATTAATCCTCAGAGCTCATATAATCAAACGTAAAAAAAACATTAAATTTCTTCTCCAATATACTCAAGACAGTCGACTGTATATCTTCTACTTGATGTGGGGGGCAATAATTATCCTGCGAAGACCTCGCAATTGTAATAACAGTCGGGGGCACTATTAAACTCGCTATAAAACCCTCAAACTTTGCATAAAGCTCTTTTAACTCCTCCTCTGTACTTTCGTGATGCGGTAAAACATGTTCAGGATCATCCCACGTGCACCCTGCATTGTACATAATCATCCAATCGATATCATCATCATTGTAATGGTTCAAAACTAGGTTTTGGAGCTCCCGAACTTTATTGTAGTTGCTGGAGGTTGTATCTGAATAATTGTCTAAATTCCTGTGCTTATCCAAGTATTGAAATAGTTGCTCTAGTTCATTTAGCAAATCAGTACGTGCTCGTAGAGTATCTTGAATACTTTGAGGAGACTTTACATCAGGCTTTGTGTATACAAATATCTTTTGCAACTCTTCATACACACCACCACGATTGTACATTAGTTTAAACGGATTATACGTACTAAAGTAATCCAAATCTATATCCAAAATATACTTAGTGACATCTTTAGTTAAACTTACTCCTGATGTCTCGCCTAAAGCCACAACATCCAACTCAATCGCTCTCACCTCACCTTGCAAATTGTGACAATACACACCTTCAGAAACATAATAATCGAGTGTACTATTAACACTAACGTGCCCCGATTCATTGTCACCAATTTCAAACTTATATTTACCCTCGGCTATCTGGTCTGACCAGGGTGGTTTGACCCAAGCAATACGATTAATATAACCATTATAAGCTGCTGGTAAAATCCAGCTTTCGATACTGACAGCATCAAATATTTTATACCTGTCTCGGGCTACATGTCCTGGCATGGAACGAGGAATCGAGAGATCTGGATGGGAATCGAAGTGTATCATGTAGTTGTTGGTGAATGGTAGATGTTTTGAGCCTATGTTTCTGTAAATGTGAGCTAGGGCTTCGTCGTGGTCCTCCACTATGTAGATGGGGATTGCTTTGTGGGTTTTTAATTTGGTGGTCATTGTAGTAATTGAAATACACAAGAATTTGATTCACATAGAACCGAAACACAACAAAACACCTTTAGTAGATGTTTTTACAATTTAAAAACTGCTTTTTATGGTAATAAAGAATAAATAACAAACTGGAATTTGACAGCACAACTTTTTGCTGTTTAAAAGTTTCAACTGTCAAGATTGCAAATGGCGGTTATTTTGAACCAAAAAGATATTCATAAAATTTTACCAAAAGAATATGCGAATTTTCATAAAATTTGCTGCTATTGCATAATATTACATAATATACTTTAGAGAGTAATAATTCATTCGTATTATTGCTTAATTAATTACTGTTCTAAAACACTTACCTTGTTTTTGTGTGTTCTTCTACCAGAATGTATATGACGATTAATTTTGTGGTTTTTAATTCAAAAATATCCAAAAACATCGTAATTTTTTTATTTATATCACACGAAAACACCTTTATGGGCACTTTAAGCATTTTTTACACGTTAACAACTGTTTTATATGTAAATAAAAAATAAATAACAAAATGAACTGTGACAGCTCAAACTCCATTGTTAAAATTGTTTATCTGCCATGTTTGCAAATGGCGGTTGTTTTAAACAATAAAAAATATTCATAAAATTTTATCAAAATAATATAAAATAAATACGAATTTTTATCAAATTTGTTGCTATTGCATAATATACTTTATATATAGAGGTATAATTCATTTATAGTATTGCTTAATTAATTATTAAACTGTTCTAAAACACTTACCATTTCCTTCTGTGTGTTCTTCTAGGATTGATTTTGTGGTTTTTAATTCAAAATTATACAAAGACACCGTAATTTTTTTATGTATATTACACGAAAACACGAATTTTGGCGGGCTTTTTGAACATAAGGTTTGGAAAAATGTATTTTTTATGTTTTATATATAAATATGTTTGCTAAAGTTATTTATAGGCTTTTTTATAGTTATTTATTGTGCAAAAATTGCAAATAATATAATTTTTGCTAAATGGTTAATTATTTTATATGATTTATATAATTTTGCAAATGGCAGTTGTTTTAAACAATAAAAAATATTCAAAAAATTTACAAAAAACACAAATATTTAAACAATTCAAAGTAGTGGTGAAATATGTGGAAATTATAATGGGATTTAAATTTGATTTACGTTAATATTTATATTAAGTTTCATCATTTCTGTTTATAACTTAACACTAGTAGAATTTTGGCGGTTTTTTTGAACATAAGGTTTGCAAAAATATATTTTTTTATGTTTTATATATAAATATGTTTGCTATAGTTGTTTATAGTCTTTTTTATAGTTATTTATTGTGCAAAAAATTGCAAGTAATGTAAATACTAGCTAAATGGTTCAATATTTTATATGTTTTATATAATTTTATTTAAAAAATAAAAAATGGCGCCTAGCACAAATAAAACTTAAAGCGAAATGCTACTTAAAACTAGTTTGTCCATTATTTTTTGTGGTAAGTATCAAAATAAACTAAATAATATTATTTTTAACACAAATTTGAAAAACGCGCCTAAAATATTTACACACATTATTATTATCATACTATTAGGCGCTTTCTGTCTGTTTCTTGTTTACAATCTGTCACGGTTGTAAACTGCTTCAAAATTTTATTAAATTTACATAAATTTTAACTAAAATGTACGCTTTTAAACATGCATAATTATAAATTAAACATGTCCTATTCCATATATCTTAAAAACCAGTGCTAATAACATTTTTATTCACTTTTACAGGCATTAACAAAACAGTTTTAACAGTTGCCGAATTTTATTTATATATTTTTGTATAAATTTGAGTTTATATTGAAGATAATAAGATGAGTCGTTTGCTTGAGTCTTGTAAAAAGTATTTTGGGACTACGAATTTGTATAAAATTTTGGATATTTCGAAAGATGCTACACCTAATGAAGGTAACCTCAAAAAAATAATTGAAATATATAAATAACTAGTATCTCTTTGTATATTTATTTCTTATAACTTTTTAGTTAAGAAAGCCTACTACAAGTTATCCCTAAAAGTTCACCCCGACAGAGTAAGCGAAGAGGAAAAAGAAGAGGCAACTGAGAAGTTTAAAGTTTTAGGCCGAATACATTCTTTGTTGTCCAACCGAAGAGATAAATTTGAATACGATACTGATGGAACTATAAGTGAAGATGATACCGAGAATTGGTGTCAGTATTGGAACATTATATTTAGGGAGATATCGATACAGGACATTGTCAATTATGAAAAGAATTATAAAGGTAAATGATTTATTTAATTATTTATTTGATATAATTCGTACATACTGTATCTCAGTCAGACAATTGTTCTGGTATGAGAGATCACAGCAATTATAACAAAAATAAATCTAAATTTTATGTAACAGGCTTACATTAAGACATCTATATATTTTTACTTATTACTATTATATACAGAACACTTGCGTACATACATACATACTTATACTTAACTAGCTGACCCGGCAAACGCTGTTTTGCCATCAAAAATATTTTGCCGCTTTGCAGAAGTTTTTATAATACATATGATATATTAATAATAATGTTATATTTTTATTTCACAAATTTCTTTACATTTCGATAATTAATTCCAACACATCATAGTGTTTTTTTATTTTAATATTATTTATGTCAAATAGTGAAATATTTTTTTTAATCAATGAATAAATTAGATTTTAGTCTGAATCAACACAGTACCATTATCTAAATATATAATATTTTATTTAAATATCAGATTTTTTACTTTTGCATTTAATTTAAAAATATTGAATGTCAATTTCATATATCCAATATGCACTAAATTTGTAAATGCCAAAATATTTCCTTTTTAGTTGAAATTTATTATAATATGATATAATTTATATCTATAATTTGATTGCCAATATTGCCTATAACATAACTTGGAATAATTAATTTATTTGTATCTTATTGAAGTGGTTAAAAATTCATGTTTTTTGAACTGTCAGAATTTTGTTTATATTTAAATTCAATATGTCGCTTTTTTATTGTGATCTATAATGTTTTAATCACTTATCATATAAATTTTCGACTGCAAATTGATATTCATACTATCCCTGAAACTAACATGGATAAAGTTCTGAGAAATCCGAGTCCAAATCTATAAAATTTTTGATTTTTGGCGCTTTTATTAATTTTTTTTCAATTTTTGTACTGTAAAATAATGGACGACTATTTATCAAAATTGTAATATTTAGACTATAATTGTAGATGAATATTCTATCTATTTTGGCATAGCAATTAGTTTTTTTTTTATTTGAAATCAAGTGAAACATAAATATATTTATTTGATATTTTTCCATAAATATCCGATTTGTGACATTGTTTTCAATTATTTTTAATTTATTTTGAATTAGCAAATGTCAAAAAATATAATTAAAATATGCATTAAATATTGTCTATAAATAATATGTCATTTAATAAGTATTATTTATTACTTTGGTGCTTGATATGGATATTAATTTGTAATAAAATATATTCTTTCTGACAAATAGTTAAAAACTTGTTATAATTTTCAAAATTATTTGACATTTCATACTTCCAAAATTAATTCACTCGCATCATGGATTAGTCTAAATCAACGCAGTATCATTATCTAAATATACATTTTTTTATATAAATATCAGATTTTTTACATTTGCATTTAATTTAAATAGTCAATGTCAATTTCATATATGCACTAAATTTATGATAGTATTTATTTTACAATAATGTTTTGTATCTATAATTTGTTTGGCAATATTGCCTATAACATAACTTGGAATAATTAATTTATTTGTTTCCTACTGAAGTCATGATCTATAAGGTTTTGATGAAGTTTTGGTATGCGAAATGATTTGGTAAGCTAATCAAATAAAAATAAATTGTAAATCTATTTATATATTTTTACTTATTACTATTATATACACATATATACACAAAATGCTTGCGTACATACATATGTACTTACACTTAATTGCAATTAATATTTTAACAAAACAGAAGTAATATAGTATTTAAAATAAGGAAATTTATCTCATTTATTCCATTTATCTCTTATGTAATTTTTCAATTTAATTTTGAAATTATTTAGGTCTGACATTGTCTTTAATTTGTCCGGTAGTTTATTGATAAATAAGTAAATAATCTATATAATATGTTGAAAGTATATTTTTCTTGATAGTGATTGATTCTAATATTTATTTTAATTGTGGTAGGATCTGATTTGGAGCTTTATGATCTCAAAAGAGCCTACACTGATGGAAAAGGTGATATTAACTATATATACTCATCAGTGCCTTTTATAGGATATGAAGACGAGCCTAGATTCATGGAAATTTTAACGGTAATAATAATAATAATATATATATATATATATATATATATATATATATATATATATATATATATATATAGGGTGGTCCTTAATATGGACATTTTTGATTTTCTTTGCTCCCAAGGGCTCAAATGTTTCCAAAGAAATAAAACAAAATCCTCTAACAGTTTAAGTTTTTAATATTACCATTTAGATAGTCTGCAATTCAATTAAAAGTTTTGTATATTCATTATTACTATATATTCTTGCGTCATCTGTGATAGCATTTGTGTACTCTAATATTGTGATTACTGAAAATTATAAATCTTGTGAATCACTTAACCTCTAATTAAAGCCATGTAGCATCAAAATTAATTTTGCATTAAAATATTTATTTAATTGGTGATGTAGACACTCAAATTATCAGTAATAAATTGCCAAAAAAATTACAAATATGCTAACATAGATATCTAAATTATTTTCACATTAAGGTAACTTAAATCCAAAATTTCATGCAAATTGGAGCACAGTAAAAAAAGTCAGACCCAAAAAGCTTCATTGACTTGAGTAAATATTCCATATCCAATGCCAAACAAATTAATTTTTGTATTTGAAATAATTTTTGAATAAGTTTTGTATTGTGAAATAATTTAGTAAGGCAAAACATGACATGCATTATGTCTAACTGAATTATCTAATTTCATCTGCCAAACATTAACTGTATATTATATTATTTTAATTTTTGGCACATCTCAGCTGCTTCTTGGCAATAATGATGTAGACATTGCATTTTGTATTTATAATTATGAATATATAACATTTTCTAATATATTCTAGTATTATCATTCTAATATTGTCTAGGCTCATAAGTAAATTGAAATTTCTGGCAGGTGACAGTTCTTATTTGTCAAAATATTTTCAATGCCAAATAATGATAAGTGTTTTTACAACTTTTTCCATTTATTTCTACAATATTGATATATATTTTTTTATAATCATTTACATCCTAAAAAATTCCCTTAACAAACTTCAGAAAGATTTATCAAAATTCGAATAGTCGTTTAGGAGGAGTATCTTTGCATACATCATTAAAGAAGAATTTTATATCAAATATATATATTTATATATATATATATATATATATATTTATATTTATTATCCATTACAGAAGTTAATAAAATGTGGAGAGCTTCCTGATTACAAGATATTTACTGAAGAACCTGAGAAGAAACGAAAGAAAAGACACCAGCGTCTGATTGCAAAACGAAAGTCTTTTGAAGCCGATAATGTTTCAAGAGCTTTGGAGATACAAAGGAATGATGGATTTACAGGTATTTAATAGTTTGTAATTTGCATTTTAAATTAATATTATTACTAACTTTCCGTAGGGTAAAAAAATCGAAAATGAAAGTTTTCAAATAAACCGTCTGTATAAATATTTTCTAAGTTTGCTCGTCAGTAGAGTCCCTTTTCTGCACAAATATTTACTAAAGGAATTCCGGATTGCTGGTCAGTAGAGTCCCTTTTGTGTAAATATTTTTTAAGGAATATCAATTTGCATGCCAGTAGAGTCACTTTACTGCACAAATATTTACTAAAGGAATTTCAATTTGCTTGCCAGTAGAGTCCCTTTTGCGTAAATATTTTTTAAGGAATATCAATTTGCTTACCAGTAGAGTCACTTTTCTGCACAAATATTTACTAAAGGAATTCCGGATTGCTGGTCAGTAGAGTCCCTTTTGCATAAATATTTTTTAAGGAACATCAATTTGCTTACCAGTAGAGTCTCTTTTCTGCATAAATATTTACTAAAGGAATTCCGGATTGCTGAACAGTAGAGTCCCTTTTGCATAAATATTTTTTAAGGAACATCAATTTGCTTACCAGTAGAGCCTCTTTTCTGCATAAATATTTGCTAAAGGAATTCCGGATTGCTGGTCAGTAGAGTCCCTTTTGCATAAATATTTTTTAAGGAATATCAATTTGCTTGCCAGTAAAGTCCCTTTCTTTGTAGTAAAGTCACTTTTTTGTAAAATGTTTACACAGAAATTTTATAAGAATATTCATTTAATATCTATTTTTTGTATAAATATTTTTTATAGAGTTCCAGATTGCTCATAAGTAGAATTCTTTTTTGTTATAAATATTTCTTAAAAAAATAGTTTGTTCATCAGTAGTGTCTTTTTTCTGTATAAATATTTTATAAAAAAATCTAATTTTCTTGTCAGTAGAGTCTTGTTGAACATTTTGGCATACCTGGAAATATATGTGTGTGTGTGTGTGTGCGGATACAAATTTTCGTCGACGTTTTCAGGCGCACGGATCAACCGATTTGAATAATTCAAAAAAGGTTTGACTCCTACTGATAAGGTAACGTGCTGATTAGTTTATTATGTTCAGAATTCGAAAAGAAAATCAGAATACAAAAAAAATCAAAATATGAAAAAATCAAATTTCTCAAAAAAGTCAATTTTTTTTAATAATTTAGTTTTCGGTACGGGAAGTTCAAGCAATTTGTCTTAAGGCACGATGCCATGCACCACTAGTTTTTATTAAGAGTGCAAATTTGGAACCAGACAACACTTAACAAGTCTTTATAATAGTTTTTAATTACGTTAATTGAAGAAATGAGATTATTTAGAAAGGCGGAGATTTGGAAACAGACTACACTTAACAAGTCTTTATAATCAACTGCAATTATGATAATTTAAAAAATGCAGATTTGCAATAAGATAAAAACGTAGAAAAAAATCTATGATAACTGCATCATCTAGAATTCTGTTTAAAATTATTCCTTGCTCGTTTAGTAACTATTCTTATTAACATATTTTACAAAAAATCGAAAATAATACAAAAACAACAATAATCCATTTTAAATTTTTATTTACATTACATAAAAAAATAAAAAAGGACTCTACTGACGAGCAAAATGAAATACAAACATGAGATGGAAAAAATACAATATAAAAACATACTCTACTGACGATTAAATCAAATAGCAATTATGAGAATAAAAAAGGATTCTACTGACGATCAAATCGTGTTTTAAAAGGACTTTTAAAAGGACTTTAGTGACGAGTAGAATTAAAACAACTTAGGTGATAAAAAAGGGACTCTACTGACGATCTAATTGATTTTTAAACTCATAAAAAAGAACTCTACTGACGGGCAAATTAAACAATTCAGAAGATAAGAAGGGACTCTACTGACAAACAAATTGGTTCTCAAAATCATGAAAGAAGCATGAAAAGGAGGAGGAGGAATTGTGAAACAACTTGGAGATAAAAAAGGACTCTACTGATAGGCAATTTAAATAGCATTTTGAGAAAGAACTCTACTGACGTGCAAATTAAATAGCAACTTAGAAGATAAGAAGGGACTCTACTGACGAGCAAATTGTTTTTTAAAAGACACGAAAAAGAACTCTACTGACGAGCAAATTAAGAAACAACTTGAAGATAAAAAAGACTCTACTAATAGGCAATTTAAATGGTATTTTGAGAAAGAACTCTACTGACGAGCAAATTAAAAAGCAACCTAGAAGATTAAAAGGGACTTCAAAAATTTATAGAAACTACTAACGAATAATATAGAAATAATTTCTAATCAATAAACTTACGTTTAGTACACGGCGCAAATGTTTAATTTGTGTTATTTTTTTCAATGATGATTTTTCATTAAATCAACACTTGTACTACGATGTAATTTTAAAATGTTTATCTATTCATGTCGATTTCCTTGTTATACAACGACATATCTCTATTCACGACCACTAATCACAATCGACCCGTACAGGAATGATATCATCGAGAGCGAATGACGAATCATTGACACTCGACTCTGCCATAACGCACTTCCGTTGCATTTGCACGGATTTATACCCTAAAAGAAGTTTTATTTAAAAAATCTATGATAACTGCATCATTTAAAATTCTGTTTAAAATTATTCCTTGCTTGTTTATATGTAAAATACGCCTGATAGCGTTGCCATGACAACGTTATTTTATGAGGCGGAATTGCTCCCTTATTCTTATTAAGATATTTTACAAAAAAAAGAGTGCGCGCAAGGATCACACGCGATTGAAGTAAAACTTTTTTGCAATTATATTGTAGCAAATTTAAGTTGAGTAGAAAAAAATAAATCATGTTAAAATTTTGAATAATGTTTATTAGTAATATGGTAACACTCGTGATGCACACATTTATTGGTGTCGTCAATCATTATACACATTTATATAATGATAAATTATAAATTATATATTTATGATTACATTAAAAATATGTATAATATTTACAAACAATAATGTAATCAAAGTCGTACTTGAAATATGACATGATCGTTTTAAAGTAATTGCTGATTAATAAATTCTATAATATTCATTCACACAGTGGATTATGTTAAACAACGCCTAAACAAATATTGTTTTTGCAAATTAACTCATCCTGTAACAATTGTGTTTGAAGAACTTCATGTAATTAAAATTAACATACATTCATTTACTGTTTGTATTTTTTTACTTTTTCGCTGACGATATAATCTCATTCCTTGAACAGCTGTAATATCCGTCTTGCCTAAGAAATTGAAGCCATACTTTTATATTTGTTTTATTTATCAAGCCTTGCACATAGCTTGATCTATGAATCATTTGCTTTTTTATGTGAACGTTAATGCAATGATCATCATCAATATTACGAGGTAATAAATTAACCATATTATTAATGTCAACAGGCACATTTATAATTTGGCCAAACATTCCAAATTGTCCATTCGCATGTCAAAAATTCGAAAATAACACAAAAACAACAATAATCCATTTTAAATTTTTATTCACATTATATAAATTCTATTGACAACAACATTAATATTCTCCTTATCCCGTTTCCACTTTAACACTAGCTTTCTTCTTCGATTTATAATTTCTATACTTTTTCCCAGTATGTATAACCGCATGCCGTTTCAAATAAACAGGTGAACTAAAAGCCTTATCACACATGTCACACTTATAAGGCCGTTCCCCCGAATGTGTATACATATGCTGTCTTAGATTATTCAAAGTTGAAAACGTGTTATCGCACACCTCACATTTCTGCAAACGGTCCTTTGTGTGCACAAGCATATGCTGTGTCAAATACCTCGCTCGAGAAAAGGTCTTATCGCACAAACCACACTCATGAGTCTCTTTCGGCCCGTGACTCAGCATGTGATGTTTTAAACTGCTCGGGTAAGAGAATACTTTACCACAAACGTCACACTTGTGACTTTCTTCGCCTGTATGAGTATTCATATGATGTTTTAAAGTGTATAGAAGTGTAAATTTTTTATCACAAAGTCCGCACTCGTACTGTTTTTCCCCCGTGTGTGTGTGCAGGTGCTCCGTCAGTTTATACTGGTTCGGGAATGGCCTCTGGCACGTTTCGCACTTGAACTCCGAGTCTCCGGTGTGTAACATCATGTGTTTTTTGAGAACATTGTAGAAATTAAAACTTTTACCGCATTCGTCGCATTTATGAGGGCGCTCTTCACGATGTGTGAGCATGTGCCGGTTTAAATAAGTCAGTTGTGCAAAGGCTTTAGGACACGACTCGCATTTGTAAGGACGTTCGTTCGCGTGAACAGGCATGTGAGCTTTTAAAGCTAAAGAATCCGTGAATACTTGGTTACATAATTCACATGATCGACTTACAGAGTGGATTGCTGAATGTTTTTTGAGGCTAGGTTGTGTGTCGAAGGCTTTGTTGCATAAAGAGCATACGAAAGGTTTTAGGCCTGAATGTGTTTTTAGGTGCTCGGATAAATCGTAAGGTCTTGAATAGGTTTTTGGACAGTATGGACATTGGAAGTGTTTGTTTGTAGGTTGTTTGGGTGGTTCTACTTCTTCGATTGTCACTTCGCAGTTTATAAGAGCTTCTTCGCCTTCTGAACTTTCCTCAAACTCTTCCTTTACAACAATATTGTTTGTTTCTATCGATTCATCATTCATTTCTGCTGGATGCTCAGGAGGCTCAATTTTGATTTGTGGGTCATTTGTGTCTTCAGACATTTTATTAACTTTACACACTTATGGAATAATATATTAATGATATATTTACTTTAATAATAGAATGATTTAGGACTTATTTTATATTATTAATTAGTTTCTTGTTTTATTTATTTTTTTTTATTGATCATTCATTTCTGCTGGATGCTCAGGAGGCTCAATTTTGATTTGTGGGTCATTTGTGTCTTCAGACATTTTATTAAGTCTACACACAAATTAAACACTTAGGGAATAATATTCTAATGATATATTTTGACGCGATTTATTTACTTTTTTAATTAATTTCTTGTTTTGTTATTATATTTATTTGTTTTATTGAATTTGCAATGACAGATGAACACAGCACAGAAGTATGATACAAACGGAGACAATTATACCAACCTAAAAATATCTTGACAGTTTCACTTCTTGGTTTAGAATAAAAATAAGTAGCACAGTTTCTAACCAAACGCGGATAAAACGAATATGATATTTAAATCAAACGAGTTTACAAATTTTACTAATATTTTTTATAAAATTAGTCCTTTAAGTAAATTTATCACCACGGTCCTTTCTAAGATAAATATTTAAGGAAAATTTAATGATCAAATTGTCTAGTTTTGCCACTCATACCTAGTTAACTTTCCGTAGCGTAGGGTAGTTATAGTAATGGGCCGAAAATTGAAAATGAATTTTTTTGCATATTTTCACGTTTTGAAGGTTTCTGAACATTTTGGCATACCTCAGGAAAAATTGATACAATATTTCGTCCACGTTTTCGGGCGCACGAATCAATCGATTTGAATGATTCATTTACCATTCGATTCCTATTGATGCAGAGAGGTGCTGATTAATTTTTAGCGAAGGCAGGTCCAGACATTTCGAATATACAGAGCTGAATGTAAAAAAATGTCAGTTTTTAAGAGAACCGAGAAGAGCATCTGATTTGAATGATTCAAAAAAGTTTCTGCTTGTGTTGAAAAAACAATTGCGTGTTTATTTAAATTTTATAGTTTGAAAATTTTTATTTAATTATTATTATTATATATTATATATTAATTAAATTTTTTTTATTAACTTCACGTAGGATAAGTTATTGTAATCGTCCAAAAATCAAAATTGAAAATTTTTACAATCCTTCACGTTTCAAAGGTTCCTGAACATTTTGGCATACCTCAGAAAAAATGGATATGTGAGTGTGTTTTGTGTGTCCGCATTTTTTCCTCCACGTTTTCGGGTGCACGGATCAACCGATTTGAATGATTCATTACCATTGTATCGTCCAAAAGTCGAAATTGAAAATTTTTACAATTCTTCACGTTTCAAAGGTTCCTGAACATTTTGGCATACCTCAGAAAAATGGATGTGCGTGTGTGTTTTGTGTGTCCGCATTTTTTCCTCCACGTTTTCGGGCGCACGGATCAACCGATTTGAATGATTCATTTACCATTCGATTCCTATTGATAGGGAGATGTTCTGATTAGTTTTTGGCGAAGGCAGGTCCAGCCGTTTCGCAGATACGGAGCTAGATATGCAAAATGTAGAAATAAATGGAAATTGCAAAAAAAACGACGTGTCATATTTGAGACATTGTTTGGCATCGAAATCAAATGAAAATTGTCATTTGCCAAAAAAATTCAATTTACTTATGAGCCTAGACAATATTAGAATATGTATAATAAATTCATGATTATGAATAAGAAAAATGAATTGTCTACATTATCATTGCCAAAAAGCAGCTGAGATGTGCCAGAAATTACAATAAGATAAGATACAGTATGTTGGCAGATAAAATTATTTAATTAATTTTGACAGATTTTATTTTTTAACTAATGCAGTCGTATTTTGGTTTACTCTACTAAATTATTTAACATTACAAAAAAACTTTGTATTTGTACTTATTAAAAAAATGATTTAGAATTTTGTTACGTGTGTCAAAAATTCATTTGTTTTGCATTGGATATGGAATATTTAGCAAGTTGATCTTAGATTGAATAGTGCACCATATGAACTAGATTTTACAAATTAATTCACCTAAGATTTGAACAAAAACAATAATGTTTATTAAATTATTAGTAAGAAAAATGTACTTTAGAAATTATAATTGCCTAAAAGCAACTAATATATGGTACAAGATTAAGAGAATTATGGTCTGAATTATTGAAGCAATTATGTCGTGTGGTAAAATCAAGTGTGATATTGTTCTTTTACCGGAGACACTATATTATTTTTTTTCTGAATCTCTTATATTGCTTATGCTGAGACCTTATAAATGATTCACAAATAGGATATTAAAAAGTATAGGATAGGATATTAAAAAAATTGAAATTTTGAATATGTATAGAAGTATATATATAAAAATTCAATGACTTTTTTTGACTAATTATTACTTTTTATTATTTTTCTGTTACACAAATATTGATAGAGTTATGATTGTTTAAAGGAGTGCGCGGCTGTCCAACCAGGATGTCTTTCGAGCCCTTCAATTCTTTGCCGTTTCAAAATAAGAGCAGTTACTGTAAAATTTATGACAGGGAAAGTTGTAGGTCATTTAATTACCTTTAAAATAGTATATTACAAGTTATGATAAAATCAGAATTAAAAGAATTATAATCCAATTAATGCGGGGGGTGGTGTCGGAGTGCAAATTGTCTTCACTTCTGAACTTAAGATTAAGATCAGCATATTTTTAAAATATCAAGCAAACTGGAGCACAGTAAAAAAAAGTCGCAGGGCACACGCTTTTTTCCTCTATTTACTGCAATAATTTTGTTGATCGTAGGTTGAATAGAGCACATGTGAACAGGATTTGTCAAATTAATTCACTTCAAATATAAACTTAAGTGATAATGTATATTGAATTATTAGTGAGGAAAATGTAATTCAGATATTAAAATTACTAAAAGCTAAAATTATAGGCAACACTATTAAAAAAAGGTAGAAAAATCCAAGGAGATATTGTACCTTTATCGCGCATGCTATATATTAATTCTTTATGAACTTGTTATACCTTTTAAAAGACTTCAATTTCTAATATGTATATCTTATGCTATAAATCACAAAGGCAGACGATGATTTTTTGTGTGATAAATTTGGAAAATCAATGTTTTAGTCGCGAATAAACAAAAAATCATTTATTTATACATCCACATCTATAGGTATGACTAAAAATATTGTATAACCCTTGGCATTAAAATAAATTGAGCTATTGGAAATAAATTTGTTCTATAAATTGCAGTGTATAATTTTTAGCATACAATTTTATTGAACATTTTTTAATATTTGTTAAAGGGATAATTAAAGTGTTAACTGTGGGAATTGAGAATCATCATGCTATTTGAAGCAGTTCTACATTTAACATCACTCATATATTTGTGTAAATAGTAATTCGAAAAAGAATAATGATTATTTTTAACTGAACGGTATAAATATTAGTTATTAATTTTTTCATTTATCTTTTTACAGGTGACGACGAACACGACGAAGCCTTGATTATCCAACAAGGCAAAAGGAGCCTCTCGGGGGGCTTCAGTTCCATCTTCGAGACTCTCGATGCCAAATGCAGGAACAAAAGAAAAAAATTAAACATTCCCCAACACAAATACGGTACGAGAATGGCCAAACAATTGAAAACAGGCCGATACTCTTATTAATTAAAGAAAATTGGTAACTTTGTTTTAAGGTATAATTTATTTGAATTTTTAATACAATTTTAATTAAACTTCATTGACGTAGACTTTTATAATCGAGATAAATCTTATCTAGAATTAAACCGAAGGGTAAATTTACGTGCTACGGTTGGTGGCGACTTCTGGGATTTGCTGAAAGAATTAATATTGATGTAATTTCAAAGCGGACGTGTTTGCCATATATAAGGTTGTCAAATATCTCACTTCCGCCTTTTTGTATGATAAACCAAAAGCAAAAAAGCGGAAGGGAGATATTTGACAACCTAATATTTATACTTGTCGATCTATGGTTTTCGTGTATTTTCAAAGTTTAACTGCTCAAGAATATGTGTATAAGAAGGTTTTTCAAAATTCACATTATTTTCACGATAATCCACCTCTGTTTTCTTTTCGTAACTGTCTTTTTCGATACGATACCCACGATTTCTCAACTTCTACCACACCAATTTACTTGCAATTTTACAGAGTATTATTTCTTCTCACTTATCCCCAAATTTTTACTATTTTTAACAAATTCATAAAAAAATTGTTTAAAATTTTTCTGCTTCAGACAGTCGCTATTTTGTGAAATTAATTTGTCCGTAATTCATATGATTGCGACATGATTCTAGATTAATATTATATAAATAATATTTTTTTCGTATTATTTGAAGGTCTAAAATTATAGGCATAGGCCACGTGCCATTTTTTTGAGAATAAAGTTAAATTATTATTTGCCCTTTTTACGACTTTTCAAAAATCGTATAAAATTTACGCCTTCAGATCAGAATACTCTTCTAAATTTTTAACTAATAATAATTTTTGTTTTTGCAATTTTTAACTTCCCGTAGGGTAGTTATTGTAATGGGCCGAATATCGAAAATGAAAATTTTTGCATTTCTCGACGTTTTGAAGGTTTCTGAACATTTTTAAAGGGCATACTTCAGAAAAAACGGTTGTGTGTGTGAATGGTTTAAAAAACATTCAATCCCTATTGATAGGGAGATGTGCTGATTAGTTTTGTGCAAAGGCAGGTCCAGCCGTTACGGAGATACGGAGCAAAGAGTGCAGAAAATAGAAATCGAGTTTTTGAGAGAACGGATCATTCGATTTTTATGATCCAAAAAAGATTCAGTTCGTAATGACGAGAAAAGTGGTTATTAGTTTTTGGCAAAGGTAGGCCCAGCGGTTTCAGAGTACAGAGCTAAATGTTAAAAAAATTGCAGTTTTTGAGAGAACTAAGCGTCCGATTTAAATGATTCAAAAAACTTTCTGCTTATTTAAACAAAATAATTGCTTTTGGAAAAAAAAAATTTGTTTTTCAAAAAATATTTTTGTAATTTTGGATTACAAATTCAAAAAATTGCACAGTCTAAGCGCCACTCTGGTACAAATGTTTAGCCAAGTGCGTTTAGACTGTTCATGTAATGGAGCGCGTTTTCAATTTTGTGAAAACTATTGAAAAATGTGAAAATGTATCCAAGCTAAGGATAGTATAAGTGAAAATGTCGCACAAAATTAATTGCAAATGCATTTAGACTGTGACTATATTGGCGCACTTTTCCAATGTTATGTCAATTATAGAAATGTAATTTCGGGTTAAAAAAAATAAAAATTACCCAGGCTAAGCACGGTCTAAGCGCCACTCTGGTACAAATGTTTAGCCAAGTGCGTTTAGACTGTTCATGGACGCTTTTCCAATTTTGTGAAAACTATTGAAAAATGTGAAAATGCCGCCAAGCTAAGCACAGCATAAGTGAAAATGTCGCACAAAATTATTTGCAAGTGCGTTTAGACTGTGATTATACCGGAGCACTTTTTCAATTTTGTGCAAATTAGGCAACTATTTTTTTTTTGAAATTGAATTCGAAATGGAATGACGATTGTTAATGTTCTGGAGATAAATTGATTTATGATTTACATTTGATTTGCTCAGATATAACAAGATAGCAAAAATAATTAACCTTGCAGTATTTGTTATTAATGTTTAAAATTTCTCGAATATTTCATTACGGTACGGGAAGTTCCAGCAATTTGCCTTAAGGCACGATGCCATGCGCCCCACTAGTTTATTTTATTTCAAAAACTTCAATATATTAGGTTGTCAAATATCTCCCTTCTGCTTTTTTGCTCTTGGCTTATAAACAAAAAGGCGGAAGGGAGATATTTGACAACCTTATATTTGTTATTGAAACGAATTTACAACTGTTTCTTTTTTAGGTATAATTTATTTGAATTTTTAATACACTTTTTATTGAACTTCATTGACGTAGACTTTTCCTATCGCTTCGATGCAATTCAAGTCGACGCTGTCGTCGGCTTTGTCGGTCGTTTCTGTTTCTGCTTCGGGTTTGTCTTTGGCGGGAGCAAGTTCCCGAGGGAAGTGCACTTTCGTCCAGGTTCCTGGTTCGGCTTTGACCAGTTTTATCTCGACTTTGGTGCCCAACATTTGGGCGGTTGTCTTTTCGGCGTCTATTATCTGGAGGAAAAAATAAATTATGTATTATATTAGGGTGGTCCTTAATATGGACATCTTCGAATTTCTTTGCTCCCAAGGGCTCAAATTTTTCCAAAGTAATAAAAGAAAATTCTCTGAAAGTTTTAGCATTTAAAATTAATATTTAGATAGTCCGCGATTCAATTAAAAGTTTCCTATATTTATTATTAAGTAAATTCTTGCGCCATCTGTGATAGCAGACTTGTAATTTTGATGGCAAATGGTTACTGATAACTTGAGTGTCAAATTCACCAATTAAATAAATATTTTGATGCAAAATTAAACTTGAATATATATTTTGTTATGGATTTAATTAGAGGTCAAGTGATTTATAAATATTTTTAAATATCGTAATATTTGAGTTCACGAATACTTTCACAGATAGCGCAAAAGTATATGGTAATAATGAATATACGAAATTTTTAATTGAATTGCGGACTATCTAAATGTTAATATTAAGAGCTAAAACTTTCAGAGGATTTTTTTTCATTAATTTGGAAGCATTTGAGTCACTGGGAGCAAAGAAATTCGAATGTGAAAAACATGCTATACATTGCAGAGAAAAAAAATCATTTAATTGTTTATTATATATAGTATAGAGTGTGCCTACTATACTATGTATATAATATAGGAAAACCAATCGTCGCACAATTTATTACAAATAAAAATATTATGAAAGAATATAATACAGAATTATGCAGTTGTTAAAAAAATTATTAAAACTTTATTCTTTATATCCAACAAAATGATTTCTTAGAAAAACTTGGCTTTTCATTTCAAACAGTACTGACAAAATGTTATATAATATGTTTAATACGTGTAATATATAATATGTTTATTTAGACATATTTTGAAGAAAAGGCTTATTGAAAAAATTTTACACTTATGATACTTTCTTTAAAAAAAAAAACTAAACTAAAAATAAAAAATTTGAACAATTAATGCATTAATTAAAAAATTTAAGAAGGTTAAGAAGAGTGTATATTTTTTAGAAAACAACATAAATTTTATCAAAAAAAAAATGTCATCAATTTATTAAAAGATAAAATTTGTTTCAAAAACATCAATATAATAAGAGAAAATCTTAATTTTCCAAAAACCGCTTTGAATAATTCAAAAAGATTGGATTCCTATTGATAGGGACATGTGCTGATTAGTTTTTGGCAAAGGCAGGTCCAGCTGTTTGGGAGATTCGGATCTAAATGTGCAAAAATGGCAGTTTTTGAGAGAAATGAGCATCCGATTGTAATAATTGTAATAATTCACTCTATTGACGTAATGAAGATTTGATTCAATTTTTGGAAAGGCAGGTCCACCGGTTTCGGGGATTCAGTTAAAAAAGTTGAACTAGTGGTGCTTGGCATCGTCGTGCCTTAAGGCAAATTGCTGGAACTTGCCGTACCAAAAATCAAAATTTAAAAAAAAAATCAATTTTATTTTAAAACTCGATTTTTGAAATTTTTAACATTCTTGAAAAAAAAATTAGCATTTGAAAATTTTGATTTTTTTTATACTTTATACTTATAATTTGGAAATCTTGTACTTTTTTGTATAACGGATAAACATTGGTACGGTACTGTGTTCTTATTATTAAAATATCTATAAAATGTGTTATAATTTGATGTGCATATCTCCAATGATTATTTTTCTGCCAAATGGCATTTTTTTCTACCTTTTATGTTGGGTCTCCGAAACCGCTGGACCTGCCTTTCGAAAAATTTAAACAGTAGTTCATCTTGTCAATACAAATAAAATGTTTTATGAATCATTCAAATCAGACACTCAATTCTCTCAAAAACTAAAATACCATTTTTGGTACTTTATGCCCCGTATCTCCCAAACCGGTGGACCTGCCTTGGCCAAAAACTAATCAGCACCTCTCCTTATCAATACGAATCGAATGGTAAATGAATTATTCAAATCAAAAAGTTCAAAAAAAACTTTCATAAATATTTTTTATACTTTTCATTATTCAAATTTTTCAGAAATGTAATATTTTAAGTTTCGGAACGGAAAGTTCTAGTAATTTGCCTTAAGGCACTACGCCATACACCACTAGTTATTTATCATCTTACCCCAAACAATTCCATATCCAGTTGGAACGTCGAGTTGTTCTGTTTGGGAAACATCAGTCTGACGATCAACCTAATTGGATTCACTTGGATAACACTATCAGCAGGATTGTACTCTTTTGCATAAATAGCAATAACCACATTGGTCGCAGTCTGGTGCCAATCCCAACGGCACTGGACAGCCGTCTTATCAGTAACCTGGGGGAAAGGAATTAAACACAAATATTAAAAAACACGAATCGTTTATCATTTATCATTGTTACCTTGGAAAAGGAATCATAACTACAGTAGAACTCCAATTATCCGAACTTCGACTATCCGAATCGCCGATTATCCAAATTTCAAAAAAAAAATTGTCCAAAAAAAGTCTAAGTGCGCTATTATTCTTCCAAATAATTCCACCAGCAAAGCCAGTGTAGGCACATTGTTTGTTTTGATTTGACGGAGATGTTTAAAAAACAATGATTTTTATTTCTGAACTTGTACATAAGTACATTTTATTTATATTTAAAACATGTGAAAATGTCATGTTTCTTTCATTTAATTCAATAAAAAAATAGTGCAATATCAAAACGTTACTTTTTTCTCTCCAATGGCAATTTTTTTAAAAAAACTCCGAATATTTGATTATCCGAATGGGTCCCGGTCCCCATTAATTCGGATAATTGGAGTTCTACTGTACATAAATCGTTTATCATTTGGTTAACAATTGTTACCTTGGATAAAGAATCATAACTAGTTGGTATTGGTATTTTGCCTTGAGGCAAGTTACATGAACTTCCCGATATGTGCAAATAATCGTCGCAATCAATGAAAAATAAATTAATTTACGAGTGATTGGAAGTATTCCGAGTGTATTTATTATACATAATTAAAAACGAACGAACACGTTAACTCGGAGTATTTTCTAAAAGCAAATCAAACTGAATTTTGACATAAAACTAAAAAACGACTGTACTGATAAGCAAATTGATTAATAACGCAGCGACGATAAAAGGGACTCTACTGACAGCAAACAGATTATAAAGGACTCTAACGACTAGAAAATATTATAGAACGTAGTAATAATTAAAAAGAACTCTACTGACAAGCAAACTGATACATAAAATCTCTAAATACGATCAAATTTTGTAGCAAAGTCGAAGATAGAAAAGGAC